AGTTTAATTTTTAAAATAGGCACAGTAAGAGAATAACAATAATCCTATATAATAAAAGGCTTATATGCAAATCAACCAAATGGCAGAATGACCAGTTACTATGACACACACTAACCACCAGGGGGCAGATGCTCCCACAGGGGGAGCGCTGCTCAGCCAGAAGCTGGCTCGTGGCTGGTAAACGCAGTGGCAGTGGTGGGAGCCTCTCCTGCTTCTGGGGCAGTGCTGAGGATGTCTGACTGGTGGCTTAGGCCTAAGCCATCAGTCAGACATCCCCCAAGGGCTCCTGGACTGTGAGAGGGCGCAGGCCAGGCTGAAAGGCCCCCCACCCCCCAAATGCATGAATTTCATGCACCAGGCCTCTAGTAACTAATAATAAAATAGAACAATTATACTAGTATACTGTAATAAAAGTTATGTGAATGGCTTTGGGGCCATTATCAGGTAAAATAAGTGCAATACCAAGCCATTCCATCTGATAACCAAGGCAGCTACAAAGTGGCTAACAGTCGTGGATATGCCGGACAAAGAGATGATTCACGTCCCAGGCAGGACGGAGCCTGACAGTGTGAGATTTTATCGTGCTACTAAGAACAGCACGCTATTTAAAACTTATGAATTGTTTATTTTTGGAATTTTCTACTTCATATATTTGGACGGTGGGTAATTAAACCTCGGGAAGCAAGGGGTGATTACTGTATCTCAGTTGATTCTTGTGAGGAACTGTTAAGAACCAAAAGAAAACTCTTTGTAAAGAGCACAACATGATCCAAATATATGGCTATTTTTATCTTGTCATCCTTTAGACAGGTACTGTCTAGTAGGAATATAATGTAATCTACATAGATAATTTTACAATTTCTAGTAGGCATATAAAAAGCTAACAAAAAAAACAAAACAAAACAAAAAAGCTTTAAAGACATTTGCAATGTATTGGGCATTCCTGGCATCCTCTCCTCAGAGCCGATGGAAGCACTTCAGCTCACAAGTACGAAAGCAGGGAACTGTTTCAGCAACTGGCAACCAAGATAATATGTCTGACTGGACATCCCTCATTTCCCTTGACAAAGCCTAAAAACCTGGGCCCACCCTACACCAGCAAATAACCCCCTTCCTCTTCAGCCACCAACCCTGTTTCAGGACTCCCAGATATCACCTTGCATTTGTTGAACCCTGTACTAAACACTTTACATTCACTGACTCCTTTAAGTCTCACAATAATCCTGTCAGCTAGTTACTGTGTATATTTTACAGATAAATAAACGGATGCTTAGGTTAAGAGAGGAGTTTGCGAAATTTCAAATCTAGGTCTGCCCTACCTCAAAATTCTCCAGGGGCCTAATTCCTAGTCATCTGGCAGAATTTCTAATTCTGCATGCACAAGAGGGTAGGAAATGCAAGAAATGTTGATCAAGGGCTTAAAAAGGGGGGAGAGTGGGTTACCTAAGAAAAGGAGAAGAGGGACAAATCCAGACTTCTTGTCCTGTCTCAGATAGCCACGTGACAGTGACCTGGGCCTCCCTCTCCAGGATCCCCTCACACCACCCTTGCTTTCCAGAATCTTCCAGCCACATGGGCCTCTATTAACTAGCTGCTTTTCACTGCTTCATGGATCCTGGTGATTATTTGTCATTGTGCATCCTCCTCACTCAAGTTCAGGCCTCACGAGAGCAGGAAGATTATCTGTCTTGTTCACTATTGTATTCTCAGGGCCCAAAATCTGAACAGTGCCTGGCATGTAGTAGAATGAATGAATGAATGAATGAATGAATGAATGAGGAACGAGTGAGCTAGATGGAATTATTCTGAAGTGAGTAGACTATCAAGAAGTGGCCCCCAGCCAGTGTGGCTCAGAGGTTGAGCATCAACCTATGAACCAGGAGGTCACCGTTTGTTTCCTGGTCAGGGCGCATACCCTGGTTGCTGGGGCTCAGTCCCCAGTAGGGGGCATGCAGGGGACAGCCAATCAATGATTCTCTCTCATCGCTGATTTTTTTTTTCTATCTCTCACTCCCTTCCTCTCTGAAATTAATAAAAACATATTTTTTTAAAGTGGCTATTGGGCCGCATGGGGTTCTTACTAGTTGGGGTGGGCTCTTTATGATCGAAAATGTAGTCTTGAGTTTCCCATTGGTGGCAGAGAATGACTTTGGAGCCCCCAGTCCTCTGAGCTGGGGTCATGCCTCTTGTTCCTGAAGCCTCTATGTCACTGCCCCTCCTGCCCACTTCACCACCACCATTCAGAGTGGCCTCAGGCTTCGTGCATGGTGTTGCACCAGGACTCACGTCAGGAAACAAGGTAGTAGAGTGACCACTTCTCCTCACCAGGCATCACCCCGCCCTCACCCTGGCTTGTTGGGAGGGAGGCGGCCCATGGAGGGCGTGGTAAGAGGGCCCTGTCTCAACTGCAGTGAATGTGAGCACCCTCTCCTCTGAGAGGAGCTCTTCGTTCCCCTGGTTCACAAGAAGAGCGAGGAGACCAGTTGGAGATCACCAGTTGACCAAGAGGTTAGCTCACTGGGTGTCAGCCTAGCCTTAGAGCAAAGCCACCTGTGAAGATGTGTTCAGTTAGTCACCAGGCGTGAGCTATACATTTACAATATGTGCACGTTCCTATATGTATGTTATATTTTTATTGTTTATTTTTAAAAAAAATATATTTTATTGATTTTGTACAGATAGGAAGGGAGAGAGATAGAGAGATAGAAAAATCGATGAGAGAGAGTCATCAATAAGCTGCCTCTTGCACACCCCCTAGTGGGGATATGCCCGCAACCAAGGTACATGCCCTTGACCGGAATCGAACCCTGGTCCCTTCAGTCCCCAAGCCGATGCTCTATCCATTGAGCCAAACCGGTTTCAGCTTATTGTTTATTTTTTAAGCCCACCTACCTGGACCCACTCTCACAGGTTCTGTTTTATTATGTCTAGGATATTTCCTAGGCACTTACATAATTTTTAAAGCTCTCCATACGATTCTTATTAGCATGTAGGGTTAAGAACTATTGATAAGCAATGACTGAGGACCCAGGAAGGTGGTGGTGTAGGAAAGGGGGGAAGGATGCTGAGGCAGGATGTCAGTCCCATTTAGAATTATGAAGTTCCAGAAAGCCCAACGGATTGATGGTTGATAGACATAAAACCTCTGGATGTCCAAAAGAAAACCATTATAAAATATAAGAAGCAGGTAACTGGTGGGAAATATAGCAAAAGCTTTGTAGCCTTACAAAGTTCTCTTATAGAGAACTTTTACTGATCAATAAGGTGAGCACCCAATAGAAAAACGGAGTACGGGCAAGAACAGACAGTTCGCGAAGAAGAAATACAATGGGCCAATACACTTAGGAAAAGTGGTCAGCCTCACTAGGAACCAAATAAATGCAAATTAAAACAACAGAGACGTTATCTTTTGCCTAGCTAATTGGCGAAGATTAAATACATGATAATACCTCATGTTGGTGAGGGTGTGGAAAAAAACAGGCCCTGTCATTCACTGGTGGGAGTACAGATTGATGCAACCTTTCCAGAAGGTAATTTGGCAACCGTTACGCTGAGGAAGATTGCAAACCTTTGTGACGCAGCAATTCCACTTTTAGGAAGATCGCCTTAGGAAATGATTGTGGATAATAATAACAATAATAGCTAACCTTTATTAAATGCTTGGTGTGTGCCAAGCTCCACACGCATTATCTCATATAATCCTCACCGCCGTCATCCCACAAGCTGAGCTGTTATCACCTGTACTTTACAGACAAGGAAACTGAGGTGCAAACAGATTAATTAAGTCAATGACCAGAGGACGCAAAACTAAAAAGTAGCATAGCCTGGATTTGAAGCCAGGCAGTCTGAGTCGATATCCATCCCACCTGTACAACAGTGTATGCTGGGGGTGTGGTTGGATGTAGAAGGTACACAGTGGGCAGAGGTGCAAGGATGTTCCTCTGGGCTTGTGTGTAATGAGGAAGAAAGCAAGGGGAGAAAACCTGCAAACCACCCCATCATAGGAATTGGTCACCTAGATTGTGATAGACTTGTATTGGAATGCTATGCAACCATGAAAAATGATGCCATAGAAAAAGAGTGTGAGGTCAATGGAGGAAAAGGGAGACTCATGTAATACTTTAAACAGTAAAGAATTTAAACTTAAAAAAAAAAGGAAAAAGGTATGTGAATGCTAGGGGTTTTTTGTATATGTATGTTACTAATGATCCCATTTTGTTAAAAATGTGTGTTTTGTATATGCCTAAAGATCTGTGAAAGGATATAAAAGGAATTGACAAAACTGGCTGCCTTTTAGAAAAAAACAACATGGCTGTGGTGAGACGTGAGAGAGAGACTTGTTTCAAGCCACAGATCCTTTCTCACTCTTGAGTTTTGAATCGTGTGAATATATCATCTATTAAAATGACTGGCCTGACCTTCTCCCTTCCTCCTTCCACCCCCAGCCCTGAACCCTTAGCTGAGTTGGCGCCTCCCTCAGTCTGGTTTGGGGCAGCGCCTCTGGGCTTCAGCACCTCATGCCCCCCTGGGCCGCGCTGCGTGTCAGTGCCAGGTGACAGCTCCCGAGAGGAGGCGCTGTCTGTCACCTGGGTCTGCCTGAGTCGCCTGGGGCAGAAGTTAGGTCGCGAACACTGAAGTCAAGGAGACCTGGGTTTGAACCCCAGTTCCACCACCTTGAGGAAGGGACTTCACCATCCTGTGCCTCGGTTTCCCCATATACAAATGGTTTAATCATTGCAGTGAGCTAATAGGGTTATTTTCATAAGATGATGTATGTAAAGCTCCCATACCATTCCCGGCAGAAGGGGAGCTCTCTCCAGGGAGTAGCCACACGCATCATCGCAGACCCTCTGTGAACGCTGGTTGAAGTGAACTGGGAAATGACGCCTGGAGGGGCAGGTCCCCAGGCCCAGCCCAAGGACAGTGGCCCTTCCTCCATTGCTCATGCTTGGCTCTGCCCATCACTGCCATGCTCACCTCCCTGCCTTGTGCCCCCACAGCCACCCGGCCCAAGCTGAAGAAGATGAAGAGTCAGACGGGACAGGTGGGGGAGAAACAATCTCTGAAGTGCGAGGCAGTAGCCGGTAACCCCCTGCCCTCCTACCGCTGGTTCAAGGATGGCAAGGAGCTCAACCGCAGCCGCGACATTCGCATCAAGTACGGCAACGGCAGGTGAGCAGCAGCCATCCCTCCCTCCTGGCATCTTCCCTCCCGAGGAGGAGGGTCCTGAGCTGTCAGAGCCTAGGGCTGTGTCCCCAGACTCACCTGTGGATCAAGTTCCCCACCCCCTTCCTTGCCACCACCAATAATTTCTCCTTGCAACCCTGGGCTCCTCTGATTATGTTGGCCCAGTGCCTTCAGACTAGAGATGCTGAATTAATGTCTCTGGGTGGTTGAAGGCAATGTGATTGTCAGTCAGCTTTGCCTGTGGAGACCCACTCTTATCCTAGAATTCTCAAAGGACCTGCCACAGTGTCTGAAAGCCCAGCATTTGGCAATCCCTGGGGGAAAGCCCGCTTGCAGAATGCACCTGGGAGGCCATGTGTGGTGATGGGCTGGTTCCTCAGCTCAGCAAGCTGAACTGGGCAGAGAGCTGGATACGGGGGAAGGGCACAGGGCTTTGACTAATGCTGGGGGAGTCTGTGTCTCAGACAGCTTCCCCCTATGACATGGGATTGTCTTTAATCTGGAGTCAGCACTCCAGAGAAGTGAATCAGACACTCAGGATCCTCCAGCTGTGGGAGATGGCTTCTCTTCCATCTTAGGGTTGGTCGAGTGGGGGCTTCGGGCACCAGAGAAGCCAGGAGTCCAAGGCAGCTCCTCACCTCTCTCCTGCCTCTCACAGCCCCCGACAGGCTGCTGGGTAGCAGAACAAGGAAGAGGGGAAGCCCCATCTGCCTGACCTCTGTTCTGCCTGAGGGCCAGGTGCACTTCCCTCTCTAGCCAAGAGCACCCTAGTCTTTCCTGCCCTCCAGAGTATCTTACGACCACCCTCTTCCTGGCTATCCTTATCCTCCTCGCTGCCCCCCAAATGCAAACAAGAATGATTTCAGAGGGCCCGAGCCTGCCCCACAACAGAGAGTGATGGGAAGCCAGGGCTCAGGCTGCTCCTGGGTTGCTGTGCAGCCCCAGCTGTGCACATTCTGCCCCTGAGCCTCTGTCTCCAACATGTGAAAAAGGGTTTGGGGGTGAGGAGTCTGGGAGGCACTGTTTTCTGACTGTCCTTTCAAGAGTGGGGAACAGAGGCAGAGCTGGTCACCTGGAAAGTGGTCCAGGCCAAATGGGAATTTACAAAGAGTTTGATTTGATCAGTGATTCCCAACCTGTTTTTGGCCAGGCCCCACCTAAGCATCTCTAAAATACTGATGTCCCCCACCCCCCCGTAACATATAATAATTCGTATTATTCAAAAAGTGGACCCCTTTTCACGTGGAGGAAGCGTAAAAAGGCCATTAACTCGGTCTAAACAAGCTTCCAAAGAACATGGCATCCATGAAAGATAAAAATAAAAGAACCAAAGGACAGATGAAGAACTGAGGAAGAAATCACTAAGAAATTGTTAAAAATAATAATAATATAATATGAAGTGATAATGAAAAATAGCAAATAAAGATTCAAAACACATAACAGAGAACTGAAATGCATGACTATGTCACAATATATATTTATCCTAGAGGCCCGATGCACAAAATTAGTGCAAGGGGCTCGTCCCCCACCCTCTGTGGCGGCTGCCTCTGCCTCGGCCCCGCAGCCCAGGGCCTCTGCCTCGCCCCACCACCGCGGCTTCATCAGGAGTCTTCTGGAAGGACGTCCAATCTAACTAGCATATTATGCTTTTATTATTATAGACACTGTATAGGAGGCCCCTAGAACCGTAAGAAATGCAAAAAAATTCACTGTTCATAACTCATTCTCCAATTGCCCACCCCTTAAAAATCAAATTGCCCCCCTGCGGGGTGTGTGCTCCACGTTGAGAACCACTGGTTTAGATCAAAGGTTTGTGGCTGAGAGAATGCTGCATCCTAGGGAAATTGGGGAGAGGGGTCTGTGTGTCCCCAATCTACATATTTAGCAAGAAACTCAGGTTGCCCACCCAGCCCACCTTCTGAGGCCACCCACCCCTTCCCACTGCCCAAGACTGGCTCCACGCTGGAGAGAGGAGTGGACAGGCTTCTGGGATTGTTGGGGTGCCTGTCCTCTCTTTCTGGGAGGTCAGAGCGAACTCTCTTTCCGGACCTCTGCATCTCAATTAACAAGGAGAGAGGCCATCTCCAAAAAGAAAACAAGCAGGAGAGAGGGTTCCCCATTTTTCTGAAACACGTCCACAACTTGGCCATCCTCACCCCCCCGTACCTGATCCCATGTCCCATTCACACGTGAGCACGTACACCCTCAGCCCCTGCGCCACCAACAAGGTCCTTTCTCTGGTGACTTCAGCCTTTCTCTCTCTCCTCACAAGCCCACTCCCATCGCTCCCCTCCCCGTGGCTGTGCCTCTTCCTCCTCCAGCTGTTGCCCCATCTTGCTTCTTCCCTCCACCAGCACACGGGGTCAGTTTCATGCCCACTGACTCCCCTCTCCTGTCCTCCACGCCTCTCGGCTCCACTAGACTCTGCCCTGCACATACACCCCACCCCCATGCTGCAGCTCTTGACAGACCCAGCGATTCAGAGCTTCCTGGCCCTGCACCTTCAGGCCTGTCAACGTCATTGACTTGGGTGCCACGTGCTCTCTGGCCCCTATGGTCCTCCTGCACCTCTTAACCACCCTTAGTCGCCATCGGCGCTGAACTTCCCTGTCTTGTGAGCTTCACTCTCCTCTCTCCTTCTCCACGTGTGGGTGTTTGGTCGAGTGGGGGCTTCGGGCACCGGAGAAGCCAGGAGTCCAAGGCAGCTCCTCACCTCTCTCCTGCCTCTCACAGCCCCCGACAGACTGTTGGATGGCAGAACAAGCTCTCATATCTGATGACCCCAGGCCTCCATCTCCAGTTTGATGGTTTGTTTGGTTGTGTTTTTTTTTTAAACCTGGGTTCCAGACCCATGCTGCCAGCTAAACACTGAATACCACCACTGAGATACTCCGCAGGCATCTCTGATGCGGAGTCCCTCAGCCTGGCCTCTCCCTCCTGCCCCTTCTGGCCCTGCCTCACCCGCCCATGCTCCCCTCTCAGCCGTGGCTGAAGCGGGTGTCTGTTGCTCAGCACTGCCCCCCTCGCCGTCCCCTCCAGTTGGGTACTTCTCCAGAAGGAAGCGCCCTTCTCCCTGCCTCACAAGCTTCGAATTCGATCCCCTAGCTTGTAGCCTCTTCCCCTCCACTGTCCCACTCTTGGCTGTCCCCACCCTTTCTGGTCGGTCCTAGGCCCTTTGTGGATTAATTTCCGTATCTAACATGGCACCGACTGTGTGCCAGGCCCTCTGCCGGAGCCCGGAGAGACACCAGGGAACGGACCTGGCATGGTTCCAGCCTTCGCCGGGTTTCCAGTCTAGCCTCTGGTGCAGGATGCAGGTGGAGGACTCCACCCTTTCTTCAGAAAACGCGCATCTCGTCAGCCCAGTTTTGCTTACTATTCTAGACGTCTGGAGTCACCAACTCCCATGACTCTGACGGGGGATGATGATCTTTCTAACATGGGCACATGTCCGATCTTCCATTCATTTACATGACAGATCTTGAGTGCCTGCTGTAAGCCAGGCACAGCCCAGGCCTTGGGGCCCTTTCGGCTCTTTTCTTCCTGCCCCGCGGTTCCCCAATACCTCAGCGCTCCCGGTCTCTGCTCTTTCCTTCCGTGGCCCTGGACTTGGCTCAGGCTGCTCCCGTGCTGGCAGCAGACCCCCATACGCACACACGCTGTCCCTGGACCAGTTCTCCAAGGCCCCGCTTAAATGCCAGGGCCTCTGGGACACCTTCTGGAGCCTCCAGGCAGCCCTCGTCACCTCCTGTCCTAGTGCCTCAGACACAGTCCCATTGCCTTGTTGGGGGCTGTCTCTCTTTCTAGCATGAGAGGGCTCCCCATCCCTGTCTCCCCTGCATGGCCTGGCAGAGGGTGACAGTAGGACGGGGAAGGTCACCCTTTGGGATGACCTGGACTTTGACACTTCAGCATCCTGGTCAAGCTAACAATTAGGTCAGCCAGTCAAGAAGCAGGGCCTGGCCAGGCCTTCTCCTGGGTATCGGGGACCCCTGAGAGCCTGAATGAGCCCCTGTCCCCTTCCTGTCAGGGACCCATCCCAGTGGCTGCCTTTCTGAAATATCCTTGCTCCACCCCGCCTGCCCCTGGGATCCCGGCAGTGAGAGGGCGGAGTGAAGGGGTGGGCCATGATCCCGAAAGTCTGACTCCGCGTTGTTACTCAGAGCTGCCACCTCCACTCCTACTTCCCCCGGCATGGGGGCAGGGGCAGGGTCTCCTGGCTGGCAGCATCCTCTCTCCTTCTGCCCGCACTGCAGCTTGCTCTCTGGCCCCTAGCACTCCTCTGCCCAGGCCACACTCTGTCTTGGCATTGCTCTCGGCCTTGCAGAGACCCCCCCCCTCCCTGGCAGGTGCCGTCTGCCTCAGGGGCTGCCGCAGGGGGTATCTCCCCCAAGCTTTCCTGCGCCAGGAGAACTCTGGCCCCCCAAGCCCAGGCACAGGCCCTCCCCGGCAGAACCGTGAGTTCCCTTATTTATGAGGTGCAGGCTGGGACAGGCCCCTCAGGCAAGCAGAGGGAGGTAGGCGCTGAGGAAAATGTGCGAGCAGAGGACGTGGCAGCCCAAATCCCATCCCTGCCAACAAAAGACTGGCCGGGAAAGGAAGGGAGGAGCATGGAGCATCCATCACAGGGGCAGGCCCGAGGCAAGGGGGCAAAGGGGCGCCAGGCCTGCCCCGGGGGCGGGAGAGAGTCCTGAGTCCTTGCAGCTAGGCTGCTATGAGGCTAGGAGTGAGGAGAGAGCGTAGTGTGTGTTATCCCCATCCCCCTGGTTCCTCGGGGCCAGGGAGCCCCACGGAGCCCCGCCTTCAGCTCTGACCCCAGGACCTTTTTTGCGAACGCCTGGGGCCCATCCCCCTGGAACTGGCAGTGTCATCACACAGCTGGTGCATGTAGGGGCCATCCTTTTTGCGCCTTTGACTCTTTCTGGTTTCTCAAAGGGCAGCGGCTCTCCCTGGGCCCCCCATGCCTTTCCCCACTCTCCCCAGGTCTTATTATACTTTCATGGGGAAGCTCTTCTCTCCTGTGTGAGCCTTCATCCCTCCGGACACGTGTGAGCCTGGCTCTGCCTTTTCCTGCTACATCTGGTGTCATGTAAGGGAGGTCCTTTGAGCTCAGCGTGGTGACAAGCAGGTTCTGGCTCTGTGTCCGCTCTACCGTGACCCTGTGACCCTCAGGCGGTCACCCCCGCCCCCCCTTTTGTCTAGTGTCAGGGAAGAGCTGGTGGCTGGGGAGCCTGGTCCTGAGGCAGCTGGGCTTTGTGGCATGTAATTAGGCTGCAGCCAGGAAAGAGACGCTGTCTTGGCCAGAGGGGCCTCCCAGGCTCTGTTTAACGAAGGGAGCAAACTTGAATTGACAGAAGAGGGCTGTAGGCAGACACCAGGCCAAGGAGACACAGACTGGCTTGAGCTGGTGAAAACTGGGTGGGGTGGAGGGACAGTGGGAGGGTCAGGCAGCTGTCACTGGAACATCAATAAGGATATTGCCATAGCAACAGGGCCTACAAATAAGACAACTTCATGAACCCTTGTCTGGGGAATCTTGGAGCGAGGCAGCCTGGGAAAGGCCCGTTCCCAAGGCAGAGGTGGAGCCCAGGAGACGGGTGCCCACAGCGCAGGGGGTGGAGACGTGGGTCCGTTTGCCATCTCCTCCCCTTGGCCTGACCTCTCCCCTGTCCTTCCTCATCGCCTTTTCTACGTCCCTGGGCTCCACCCCCCTCCACTCACTGCACTTATTCTGTGAATCTGGTGTTTTAATTCAGGACGAAAAGGAGGAGGAGACCTCAGCTGGAGAGAAATTTTCATGCTACTTCTTGTTTCTCCTTGGGGGCCAGTCTGGGGTCCCCGGCTTCATCTGGGGCTCCAGCCAGCCCCTGGAGAACCCTGGGGCAGAGGAGCTGTGGGAGATGTGACCAGAACCTGCAGAGCACAGGTTCCCGGGGGCAGGTGCAGAGAGACTCTGGGAAGGAAGAAGAGGTCGGCAGGGTCTCCAGGAAAGGGGAGAGCCAAGGCCAGGAATCCTAGAGTCACACAAGCACTGGAGTTGCTGCCCAGGCCTGGCCCCATGTCTCTCGGCATGCAGGGGCTGGGTCCTCCACAGAGGGGTCTACCCCAGTGTCAGTCTCCGCGGGAAAGCCCATGCCCTCACCAGCTCCAGCACTTTGTCCACCTCTGCCTGTGCTTTGCCATGTGTCCTTGGACAAGTCTAGAAGCCCCACTAAGACTCAGTTTTCCCATCTGTGCTGTCCTGTCCACCACTTCCAGATTAGCCATGAGGGTCAATTCAGGCCACAATGACAGGATCTCTTGTTCCCTAAGCTATCCAAGCTCCTGGCTCTCAGAGAGCACTCAGTAAACTTTTATTGAATGAATGAATGAAGTGAAAGCCCCTTGGAAAGGCCAAAGTGTGCCCCTTAGTGGCAGAGCTAGTGTGAAGTTAGGGGAGAGCCACAGGTTGGAGCTGGGAGACTGGGCACAGTTGCCATGGAAACCTGTCGGAACAGACACACACACACACACACACACACACACACACACACACACCGTAGGTATCTGGGAGTGGGTTTTGCATTCAGAGTGACAGGCTGCCACTTCCAAGGAAAGGCGTAGCCGGTGAGCCAGGCTGACCTGGGGTTGGGGGAAAACACTGGGACTGGGGGAGGGGCGCTGAAAGAAGAGGAGGGAGGTGGCCATGTGACTCCCTCAGGGACCCCGATTTCCTCACCCAGAAAAATAGCTGCAAATAAGGACCAGCCCTGGAAACGGGAATGTGGAGATGCGTAGATTCGGAACATGTGTGTCGCCTCTAGCCCTGCCCTGTGCTCTCCTGGTGCCCAGGTTTCCCCCCTCTGCACCCCGGGACCTCAGACTCCACTCCCCATCCACCCTTCGCAGCCTCGCGGCTCTGCGGGGCGAGGTGACCTCCGGGTGACCGCTGGGGAGTCACAGCCAGCCCGGCCCGGCTCACGCCTCTCCCCTTTTATTACCTCCCTCACCAGAAAGAACTCACGACTACAGTTCAACAAGGTGAAGGTGGAGGACGCAGGGGAGTACGTCTGCGAGGCCGAGAACATCCTGGGGAAGGACACGGTCAGAGGCCGGCTCTACGTCAACAGCGGTAGGTAGTCCGCCAGCGGAGGGAGGCGTCCCGTAGGGGTTCCAGTTGCCCCCCAGCCCTGGGGAGGCCGGCACATGATCCATCTTGCACTTGACTCCCCTCCCTCCTGCTGCTGCCATATCAAGCCCCGAGATCTGGGCCGATTCAGAGAAATGCAGCCGAAGCATAAATGTTTAGCTTTGTTATCGGGGCCTGGAAGAGCAGCCAGCTCTCATTTTAAATACCCTAAAAACTAAATATTTTGAAATCAAGAGGTGGGGGCGGAGGGGAAGGATATTTTTAGAAGGCAATTATGGCAGGCTGGGCTGCCAAGCCCCGGCTCCAAGGAGAGACAGGCCCAGGGTGTGTGCGCGCCGGCGAGCGGACGGCTTGGTGCCTGTTGCTGTGCCGGGCACGCGAGTGCAGGCAGCCGTCCTCATGGGGCCGTGGGGGGAGGCATGGGTGCCTTTGGCCCTGGGGACAGCCTCTGTTCAGGGGTGGCAGGCCTCTGCCCTACGTGTCATTCTCTCCCTTGAAAACTTGTGAGGCCAGAAGCTCCAGACACCTTTGCATCCCCTCGCCAGCTGGAGCGCCAGCTGGAGCGTGGAGGCTACCTCCTGCTGGGCTGTCTGTCCTCTGGGGCCCTTCCCTGGGGAAGTCTCTGGAACGGCCTGTCCTCAGGCTGCTCCCCTCTACTCCAGCACACCCCACAGAACTCTTCCTCCTCCCTGACACCCAGGCCTAGCATGCCATGTGGCCACCTGGGTATGGGGGTCAGCTTCCCAGCCCTGTCCATGTCACAGAGTCTAACCCTGTATCTGTCCTCGCCCACCTGTGTTTCCGCCATACAGCCTTTCAGGACTCTAAGCCCAGCCTGGTCTAAAGAGAGCTCGGATGTGGCTGCCCTGGGCCTGCCCTCAGGGAAACCTGGCGCAGACGCTGTCTGCCCTGCCTTGGGAGGGGTTCCCTGTCTCCCAGCCTCTCAGGCTCCTCCATCTCTTTTGCCACTGGATCCAATAGGTCCGGGTCAGGCTTCTTTCTGGGCCTTTCTCACACCTGTCCCTTCTGTTCCCTCCCCACCTCAGGAGCAACCTCAGCCCAGGTTTTATTCCTAATCCCCTGGACCAGAGCGAAAGCCTCTCATGCCGCTTCCATCCTGTCACGCACCCATCCTGGGGCCACAGAACAAACACTGCCCCACAGCCCAGCTCTCCGGGGAAGCCCAAAGGATCTTTCCTGTCTCCCCTGCAGCCTGTCCCTGGCATCCCATCATTATTTCTCCCCCCTGGGCCATCTCTCCCAGGCAGCCTTCCTCCCTGACCACGCCCAGCCCGAGGCCTGGTCCTGGGCCCCTTCTTGGTCAGCCATGGTCTTGGGTAGCTCTTGAACTCTAGCCTTCAAAGGTTCTTCAGCTCTCATAGAGTCGCTGCGCTTTCTCTGTGGGTATGAGCTCCCCAGGGCAATTGTGAGCCAGGAGGGCGGAGAGCGGGATGATGCCTTCTCCCAGCAGTTTCAATAATAGCCACAATTTAAAAAATAATAATAATAATAGCCACAACTGCTGAGGGCTGCTCTGCATCAGGCTCCCTATGGTCTCTTGAGCCCCTACTCAAGGCCATGAAGTATTTTGATATATTTTTCTTATTGATTTCAGAGAGGAAGGGAAAGTATGAGAATCATTGATCACTGCCTCCTGCATGCTCCACACTAGAGACTGAGCCCGCAACCCAGGCATATGCCCTGACCAGGAATCGAACCATGGCCTTCTGCTTCAAAGGCCAATGCTCAACCACTGAGCCACACCCACCGGGCTGAAGTATTTTATAAATTATAACACTGAGAGGTTAAATATTTTTCTCAAAGTCAAATAGCTAGACCGTGCACTCCAGGGAGCAATGCGGGGCTGTTTACTACTCTTGCCTCTGGGCCTAGCACAGTGCCTGGCTTACAGCAGGCCCCTGGGAAATAGTATATAAAAGGGCTTGGAACCTGCTCCAAAGCCATTCACTGACTCCCACATGCCCCAGCCTGGGCCCCCTGCTCCTCCCTACCTGTCCCAAGCCTGGGAAATGGACCCAGCATCTGCTGCCTCAGCCAGAGTGGGCAGACGGTCTCGGGTCCACTTTGGATTTCAGATGCCCTATTTCATTATTCAAAACTTTCTTGGTTAGAGCTGACAACAACCTAACCTAAAACTACCTGAAGGAATGTATCGGCTTATAAAACTGTGATGGCCAGAGGTAGAACTGGCCCAGACAGGACAAGAACTCACAGCAGAGTCAGGATGCTCTCTCCCACCACATTAGCCTCATTTTCTCCTACTGGAGAAAATGGTCAGGGAAGAGGAGGCCATGGCCTCAGAAAGCTCCAGGTTTATATCATCCCAGCTCACCACCCAGGGAAAAGGGATAGTCTGTCTCTGTGTCCATGCATACAATCACACAGGTGGATGCCAACGGCTCCCTGCTCCAGTGACATGCCCTGCTTGGCCCAGTCACCGGGCTCAGGGGGTGAGGTGCCACCTGTGTGAGTGTGTGATTGCCAGCCTGTGAGTGTGCAGAAGGAGTATGGAGAGGCAGAGTGCTATGTGTGTGCCTTGCTAGAAGTGTGGGGGCAGGGCAGGCACTTCCTTGGAGGAGTGCTGTTAGCAGAGGAGGAGGAGAGGGCTGCCATGCAAAGCCACAGGAGTGCCCTCTCTCCTGCACAAGCTGGGGACCTCAGGCTCAGGACTGTTGTGAGATTCCTCAGAAAAGCTGCAACTCCCCCTCCACCCAAACTCCTGACAGCCCTCAGCAGCCCACGTTCTGATCAGTTAGTGAACGGGACAGCAGAGCTTTAGGCTGGGCCCTGAGGACTTCCCGTATGGCCCCTGGCCTCTTGTCCTTGCAGCCTAGCCAGAGAGCAGCAGGGCAGAGTAGCAGAGAGAATTCAGGGCTTTGGTCTCATCCCAGCTCAAAGGGGCAACCCAGGATGAGTTACTCTACCTCCCTAGTCTTAGGTTTTCCCATCTGAGCCTCAGCTAGATGATCTCTAAGCCCCTTTGCTCACGGAGAAACTTCTGGGATTCTGAGTTTGACATTGAAGCTGACATCCTATGCACCAAGCTGCTGCCGCTGCCGCTGCCACCACCACCTCCACCACCCACCCCTCCCCATGCCCTCCACACACACACACACACACACACACACACACACACACACACCATCTCTTCTGTTGCTCTGTTCAGTCCATGGCAGGAAAGAACCTGCTCTTGGTGAGGTGAATGGGGTCACTGAAGGGGACCGGAGGCCCCTGCTGGGGACGTTTTCCCCAGCAGAAATGTTCAGGCTCCCTGTTTTCCTGTGGAATCCAGAAGCAACCACACCCTGGGAAATGGGGAGGGCGGGTAACGGGCCTCGGTGCCTGCCCCCCTCTGACTCATCCCGAGGTGGGTAGACTTGGCCCGCCCGGGCCCCAGGGGAGCCAGGGCTACTGGAGTGGGCAGGCCAGGAGAGGGCATGGGAGGGCTGGCAAGGAGCAGAGGCTGCTCAAGGAGCATCCCGGTGGCTCTTTGCTACATAGCTCTGTTCCAGCGGGCCTCAAAGGTCCTTCCCAAATCACAGGACACCCTTCTCGCAGTAACAGCTCTGCCAACTCATAAGAGGCACATTTCTGAGTTGGCTGGGGTAAGGAGGAGGAGACAAAGAGTTTGTGGTGCTTTTAACAGGAACAACCTTCTTGGTCCAGTCCACTTCTGAATTAGAGCAGCCAGCTGCCTCGTCCCCAGGTGAGGGAATGTCCAAGGTGACTGTGCTAGTCCCAGATGTCAAGCCGCCTGTGCTTCACCCAGGTGGCAGGCACATTTGGCCTGGTGTGTCACAAGGCCATGGAAGCCCTGGAGAGGTTCTGGGCCTGTCCATTACCTGGAGGCTTAAAAAGGCTGTTTAATTGCATACACATGCATGCGTGCTCTCTGACTCATGCAGGCACACACACGCATGCACCTCCACACGTTCAGCAGGCCTTCCTCAGCAAGACCGTGTTTTGAGCTCTGGGAGGCAGTCTCAGCTTCTGACAAAGTTCCTTAAATGGCAGGAAGCTAAAACCTGAACTCGAAGGGTCTGCCTGTCCTAACACACCGAAGAGGAAGGACAGGCAGCTTTGGCAGCTTTATCGATGAGAAAGGGGGCCTTCTGGGCAGGTGGGAGAGAAGCCTTGAGGGATGAGAGGCTTTTCCGTGAGGGAAGGAGAAACAGCTGCCGCAGCTGGCAGCAGAGAGAGCATCCATAGCATCTGCCCCCTCCTGGCCCATTCTCTCTACAGGGACCTGGGAAACTTACACCAAGAAACTCATGGCTCATGTGCCAGGCATTTTTCTAAATCAAAAATTTTAGGTCTAGTTGACATGCTACAAAATCCACCCTTTCTAAAACATGCAATTCAGTGGGTTTTCGTACATTCACAAAATTGTAAAACCATCACCACTAATTTCAAAACATTTTCATTGACTCAAAAAACAAAAAAAAATACCAAATACTCATTAGCAGTCACTCCCCATTTATCCCTCCCCTTAGTACATGACATTCCATGACTAGTTTCTTCCACTTGATATGTTTTTAAGGTTCATCCATGTTGTAGCATTTATCAGTACTTTACGTTTTATAGATGAGTAATGGATAAACACTTAGTTTATCCATTCATCAGTGAGTTGTAGGGTCATTCAGGTTTGTTTTCACACTTGGGCTACATGGATACTGCTGCTGTATCATTTGTGTACAAGTCTTGGTGAGGACACATATTTTCAATTATCTTGGGTACATACCTACAAGTAGAATTTCTAGGCCACATGACAACCCTCTTTTTAATTTCTTTGAGGAACCACCAGACTGTGTTCCAAAGTGGCAGTACTGTTTTACATTCCCCCCAGCAATGCATGACAGTTTGAATTTCTCCTCGTCTTCACCACTACTGTCATTATCCGTCTCTTACTATAGCTAAGTGAGGATGAGGTGGTATCTCACTGTGGTTTTGATTTTCATTTCCCTGATGACCTCCCAGGAATATTTGCATTTAATAGGAAACAATGTTTTGATCTACAGAAAAGCTGCATCCTCATTGGCCAAGGTTCAGTGGTCAATGAGACAGACAGGGCCCCTGCCCAAATGGAGATTACGTTCTAGTGGAGGGGAGGGCCTAAGCTTTAAACAGCTAGTAATCGCACAACCAGCCATTTAATTATGTTAGAATAAGCACTGCAAGTACAGATATACAAAGCTAAGAGAAAAGTAAGGAGGAGCCTGAGCAGCCTCTCTGAGATAGTGATTTTTTAATTTATTTTTATTTATTTTTTTAGCGACTTAAAAGTACATTTATTATCTTTCAGACATAACTTAGCTGGTTCCTGCAGCTCAGGGCCTGTCACAAAACTTCAGTCAGGGCCTCTGGGCTCAACCTGGGTGTTTGGGGTGGGGGTCAGAGGGTCAGGATCCACGTATAAACTCACTCATATGGCCATTGGCAAGCCTAGGTCTACACACTCAGATGACCAGAGATGAGATGCTAATATTTTAAAAGTCCTGGACAGGAAGGCACCGGCTTGCTAGAGGAGTTGGACTAAGCCAGTGTCGTCTGCACATACTGTAAGAGAGGAATAGAGCATTAAGTAGGAGAGGTGAGAAGGCCCAGATTGGACCTGGGAAAAGTTGAGGGACTCTATCCTGAGTGCAAATGGAAGCCATAGGTGGATTTTGATCATGGAAATGATTGATCAGTATTCTAAAATCCAGTTTGCCCCTAGCCAGTTTGGCTCAGTGGATAGAGTGTCAACCTCTGGACTGAAGGATCCTGGGTTCGATTCCGGTCAAGAGCATGTATCTTGGTTGCAGGCTTAATCCCGGCCCTAGTCAGCATGTGTGGAAAGCAAACCAATCAATGTGTCTCTCTCACATCAATGTTTCTCTCTGTGTGTTTCTCCCCCTCTCTTCCACTCTCTCTAAAAATCAATGGAAAAATATCCTCGGGTGAGGATTAACTAAAAATTAAAAATAAATAAAAACCACTTTGGCATCTACGAAATGAAATGGTTAGAGATGAAGACAAGAGTGAGGGCAGAAAGGCCAATGGGAGGCTATGATAGTTGTGCACAGAAGAGACCATGCGACCAGGGCTGGGGAGGCAGGAGTGAGACATGGATAGAGACTCGTGCAGAGGTAGAAAGATTGCCCTTGGTGACAGACAGCTGTGGAAATAAAGGAGGAAGAGAACCAAAGATACCCTCTAGGTAATAGGTTTGTTCCCTGCAGTCACTGGCTGGGCAGATGATTGGCAGCTGAGTTTGGGGTGGAGGTGGGAGCAGCCAGACTCTGCAACTTGGAGTCCGTATGTCATCTTCACTTTCCCAAACACAGGAGAACACAGTGACGAGGGAGTAGGGATGTGTCGCCTTGAGAGCCTACAGTTGCCCTGCAATGACATAGTAAGGCCCTGCCATCGCAGGGGGGGGGGGGGGGGGGCGGGCGGAAGAGGCTCAAGGTACTTCTTTCTGAGATAGAAAGGCCTACGTCACTTCCCCACACACCCTGTGACTGGCTCCCCCATTGGCCTCCCCTTTTGCCTTTCTAGTCCCCATGACAACCCAGCTCTGGCAGCCCAGGCCAGGGCAGCCCAGGTGGGACCCTGGCTTCCTTCAGGAGTTGTCCTCTGCCTCCCAGGGCCACGAGGAGCAGACAGGCATGTGGACAGACCCAAGTGTGCAGTGACGGTCCCTGCCACCCTCCTCCCTGCCCTCTGCTGCTCACTCAGCGCAGCGATGGGCAGCTTTCCGGCCTGTGACCGCAGTGGAAGCCAAGCTGGGCCTGGCAGATTCAGGACAAGACTTCTCTGGCTTAGCCAAGCCTCTCAGAGGACGCAGGCCTGTGGTCCACATCGGGTTTGCATTCATCGGCTTATGTCAAGTCTTGTACTGACGTGTTCTTCCACAGGGGACTGTGGCTGGCAAGCATGCGCGGCCAGGCGTCGTAGATCCTTGTCACAGCACACACTGTGACTCTGAACAGGCACTTCCCTGCTCTTTCCTCACCCCGCCTTGGCTGCGTAACCAAAGGACAGGACAACCTCTAGGGTCATTCCAAGCAACAGGATTTTATAATTCGCAGGCGTGGTCACCTCAGCTGTTTCTCTTCTCTGTCCCTTTCTCCGTTCCCTGGGTCTCACTGACCCAGAAAGGAGGCAGAGACCAGCGGGAGGCCTCCTCTCCCAGCCAGCATGTGGCTCCCAGCTGGGCCCGGAGTGTGTGTAGGCAGGAGCCCTGGGCAGGGTGGGGCTAGGGATGCCAGACCAGCAGCAGGCACGACGTGGAGGGGAAGGTGGGAGCTGGCCCTGCCCGCTGCGTTTTATCAGCGAGCTCTTCAGACATATACAGAGGCGAGGCTGTGTATACACTCGCAGTCCCCGCGCTCCATCTGTCTCCCCGCATGTCTAAACAGTGAGGGCGCCAAGTGCCTGCTCTCCTCCTCCTCCTCCTCCTCCTCCTCCTCCTCCTCCTCCTCCGCTCGCCCCCGTTACCGCGGGAGGTGGTAGACACTCCATACCCCTGAGGAGACAGGACCAGCCAAGGTAAGAGGGTTTGCCTCAGGAGTTCGCTGCTGGGTGAGGGAGAGAAGGAGAGGTCCTCAGAGCCCCAGAGGCTGGGGGGTTAGGGAGAGGAGGCAGGAGCCAGTCTCTGGCTGTCCAATCTGGATACAAAGCCGAGGGGGTTAGCTTACAGAGGAAAACTGACATTGGGGGCAAGAATTTTCACTTGAAATCAGCTTTCTGGATGCCATCGCAAGGGCAGCCGAACTTTGGTTGTCTTCAGTTATCAAAAGAAGCTCATCAGCCGGACGTGCAGGCTGAGTCGGCAGCCCACAAGCCCATCCTGCCCTCCCCTAGCGTTCCCCTCCCCGCCGTGCCCAGCCCTGTCCCAGCCCGTCCCCTCTCCCTGGAGCCCGGGTTTGTAGCCTGGGCTGTCCAAGGCCCAAGGCTCCTCTGGAGGCACCAGCTAGCGCGGTGGGGAAGGAGGAGCGCTACCTGGCGAGGGCTGATGCAGAGAGGACCCTAAATGCCCGTGGAGATGGGCTCAGGGCCTTTGTAACATTCCTGGGAGGCTGTCTCCTCCCCTCCCCCAAGGGGGAAGAAATGGAAGTGAGGGTTCTCCCCACATCTCCTTCGATCTTGGGACATGACAGTGTCCAAAAGGTGCCGTTCCCCTCAAAGGGTAGCTTCCTTCCGGCCACTATGGGAGCGCGAGCGGAGCACGTGGATGTGGGTGTCCCCTCCCTGGGACTCTGTCCCCCACGGAACACGTGGTGTCTCCTCTGCCCGCAGTGGTGCCCCCAGGAAGGCGGGGAGGGAGGGGGTGAGGGAATAGTTTTTGCTGGCCTCCCACCACCTCCATACGCAGAAAACCCTCCAGGCCTTCAGAGGTTTGCCCGGAGCAGGGGTGCAGGGTGGTCCCTGTGCTTTGTTGGTGACCAAGAGGGACCACCAGACCCTCCCTGCCCAGCCATCCCTGCTGTCTCTGCGCGTTGAGCACTGAGACGGGCCGGGCAGGAGGTGGCTCCTGGGGCCCGGAGGTGGTCTCAGTGGGTCACTGGTGTATGTCTCTCATGCCTCCAGTGAGCACCACTCTGTCATCCTGGTCGGGGCATGCCCGGAAGTGCAACGAGACAGCCAAGTCCTATTGTGTCAACGGAGGCGTCTGCTACTACATCGAGGGCATCAACCAGCTCTCCTGCAAGTAAGTGGCCGGTGGGGGCGGGCGTGGGGGCAAACGCAGGGTGAGACAGGCTGGGGCAGAAGTGGAGGGCTCTAGGAAAAGTGGGCTTCCAGCCACTAACACGGGGTCCCCAAGGAGTGTAGACAGGAAGGTGTGCCCCCTTTCCTGGAACCCAGGGAGATGTCAGCGCTACAGGGCTCAGGGCTTCTGCAGTCCCAGGTTCCCAGGCCCTCCCCACTCATCTCCTGATGTCCACCCCTTCACCAGCACCTTCCAGGACAATGGGGAGGCCAGCCGTGACCTGGGCTCTGGGCTTGTTTTCTCTCTCTCTCTCTTTCTCTCTCTCTCTCTCTCTCTCTCTCTCTCTCTCTCTCTCTCTCTCTCTCTCTCTCTCTCTTTCTCTCTCTCTCCCTTCTCTCTCCCCCCCCTCCCCATTGCTCAGCAACTCTCCAAACGCTGTTCTGATAAACGTTCCCCAGGTGTGTGTTCCCAGCAGCGAGGAGCCAGGCAGTGCGAGTCCCAGGGCCCTTCGGGAGAAGGGGGCTTCCCCAGTGCTGGCCTCAGGACCTGGGTACTCTCCCGGCCTGGCAGGACCCCACTCTCAGATGTGCCCTGGGTGCTGCCTGGCCCTAGTTCCTCTCTATGGGGTGAAGGGACTCCAGTGGGACACCACTCTGGGTGTGACCCAAAGGGGGAGGTCAGGGTTGAAGAGCTCAAGCTGGGCTTTCTGTGCCTCCCCACTGTCACAGCTACTCTCCAGCCAGGCAGGGCCGCCTCAGGAGGACTCCCAGGAGCTTAGAACCACCTGTTCCACTCACACACAGGGCAGGCGGGCATGAGCATCACAGAGGGCTTGTTCAGGCCCAGCCAGACCTTCTGAGCAGCTGGACCCACAGCGCCCTCTTGACGGGTTCTCGGGCAGGTGCAAGAGGAGGAGGAAACGGAGGAGGAGGAGGAGGAGGAGGAGGAGGAGGAGGAGGAGGAGGAGGAGTGGCTGGTGAGGGTAGCACAGGTTCTGGCTGGATCCTCAGGAGTAGGAGGGAGATCTAGTTATCAACTTTGGGTTTTCAAAGCAGCCCAAGGCTAGGGCCTGGCAAGGTGCCAAAGCTGCCCCATTCCCATGGCATTTGGGCAAAGGCCACCAGAGTATCGATGGAGATTCCGAGAGAGGCGTTTGCCCTCCCCACAGGCAAGTCAGATTCAGCATTCCTCAGCTCTCCTGTTCTCCCTCCTGGCTACAGCCTTAGCCCGGGACTCTCAAAGACCACCCCCCACACATACACAAAGGGATAACAGAAGGTTATGCCTCCTTCACACTCTCCCAAGGCGCTGGGCCAGCGTGGCCTGGGCTGCCAGGCAGATCTGTGCCTCTCACCTCAGCTGGCCTCCTTTGCTGGCTTCCTCCCTGGTTCCACCCTTCACCTGCTGCCATCCCCTTCCCATCCCCCCATCCTGAATCGCAGGGGACAGTCCCAATGGCAACAGCAGGTCCCCCAGGGAAGTTCCCAGCTCAGACTCAGCCCCTCATCCTTTCCCTCGCTCTGCCTCTACGACAGACCCTGGGGAGCATTCTAGCCTTGATAGTGCTCTGAGCTCTTGGGAATAGACCTATAGAAATTCAGAGGATTCTGGAAAACCTCCCAGAGACAGCCTAGCCTTGTGCCCTCCATGCTTACCACCCTCCCCCCAGTAAACACACACCAGTCTTCTCTTCCTTTGCCCCTTGGACCCTAGAGTCTTGAAGGGTTCCAGCAGTGGCACTGAAGTCAGCCCTGGCTCCAGGTAGGGAAGGTTTCAGCCCCCCAGGGCAGGTGCTGGGGCTGAGGAGGGCTTTGGGGCCCAGGACTCCAGTGCTAGAGAGTTTAGTGTGGGGAGGAGAAGGATGAGGTAATGGGTTCCCAGAGGGTCCTGCCATCAAGGCTGTCCCTTTAGTACCCTCTGGGTCCCACCCAGCTCCATCTGAGAGGAACAGAGGGCAGGAGCCTGAGCCATTGTGAAGATAATGTCCTGTGTCCCCTCCTCACCAGGACTGGGGTCACTGCTTAGCACCTGAACCTGGTACCCAGAATCACCACCTCCCCATCTCAACCTGCCCTGGAACCCACTTCCCTGACTCCGAGCCCTTGAGGGAGCGGGGCATCCCTGGCGGGGATTTCGCCAGGAAAGCAGGTCCTCAGAGCTGTGCTGGAGAAGGACAGGGGGGAGGGGGCCGGGCAGAGCCCAGAGGCCACTCTGGGGGCGGGTAGGCTGGGAGGGGAGGGGGGCAGGCCTCGTGGGGTTCCTGATGACACCTGAATGGAATAAAAAGGAGGAGAGAACTCAGGAAATGGGACTCACGTCTTACCATTTGTGCTGTTTGTTTACTTTTTATTTTGATTTTTTTGCATTTCCGCTTAGCTTGGATAATGAAACTAGACTGGTCAGTTTCATTCCAGTTTCTATAAAAATCCGTTTTCCTTCCTGGTTTTCTGACCCTTGTTGTTGTGTATCGGTTCAGAGCCCTGCAGGGAGCGTTGCAAAGCAGGCACGCTCCCCCCCCTCCTGTTTTTGTGGAATTCAAAGCCAAAAGCTTAAACAGTGTCACTGATACTGAATTTTGTTCTCAAAAAGAAAAACTTAGGGGGATTGGAAAATGGGGGTGTCCAAATCAAGGGGACTGCCTCCTGTCTGGGTCAGACAGGGGCCTCGGCACTTCCTCTTGCTGTTTTCTCCTCTTCTCTTCGTGTTTTGTAGAGCACGGTTGGTGCGTGACTCTTGGGGACTGGTTCAGGGGATGATGACAGAACAAGACTCTCTTTCCAGCCCTGTGCACATACCAGCGGCATGCCTCCCTTCCCATCCGCTCATCCCCCCATTCCTTCTGCTCCCCCACCCCATTTTCAGGTGATTTCCCCCATCCCATACCCATGTGCCTGCTCATCCCCTCCATATCGCCACCCCACCCCTCATGAGGCCAGAGCCCCTTCCCTCCCTCCAGTGCCGGGGCGCAACCTCATCCTTCATCCTCCCCCTCCCCTGGGTGAGGGCAGCACACATGGCATTATCCCCAGGCTACCAAAAGGAGAAACTGAAGCCAGGGAGCTGGGGTGGGGAAACAGGGAGGCAGTGTCCCAACCTCCCTGTTCCCCTAAAGACAGCCTGAGGGCTCTCCTCTCTGCCCCTCTCTCACCCCTGCTCTTCTCCGGCCCTGGGCACAGGCCTTTCCATAGTCATAGGGGATGATTTGGGAGGAAACACTAGGAAGACTGCTCCCTGCTGTTCCTTCTAATCTGTCCCCTGTGCTTCTGTGCCAGGTCAGTCCCTTTTGGAGTGAGAACTGCTAGCTACCCACTTGCACTGAGCTCAGACCCCTCCTGGGTGATAGGCTACCATAGCTAGACCCTGCTACCTGGTCTTGGGTGCAGGGTAGGAAGGCTGTAGGCTCCATCCCATGAACCTTCTCTAGGGAAACCCAGCCTCCTAGATGCAGTTCACCCTCAATAAGCAAGGCCAAAGGGAAAGGAACTGTCCAGGAGCCCGCCTCCTCCTCCCCCACACCACCACTGAGGAGCCAGTGCCCAAAGAATAGCATGTCCTCCCACCCCCACACTGCCCATCCTCCCACTGCCAGTGGGGAACACACTTTCCCAGGCAGGGAAGTTAGGGCCATATTGCACAACTCCAGGGGCATGTTCATGCTGTAGACCATTTCCACAGCACCACCTTGAGTTGTGCAACTCAGTGGCCACAAAAGAGATGAGGATACAGTTGGGTTAGTCCAGGCTGAGTGTGGGATCAGGGACATAGGGATATGCTGTTATCATTGGTCTCCAAGAGCATCCCAGGGATAGCATTCCTAGCACAGTAACGTCAAATTCTCCCAGTATTGGGAATAAATGTCCCCTTTGCTTCTTCCTGTCCCTGAACTGCCCCCCCCCCATCTCTCTAACACACACACACACACACACACACACACACACACACACACACACGTTTTCCCTGTCTCCAGGAGCCTGGCTAATCTCAGACATTGGACACAGGCAAACATATTTTTCTTGTTCCTTTGCAAATTCCAAAAGTCATTTGGGCAAGTTCCTGGGTCTTTATCCTCCATCCCCAAAGGTGCTGCTGCTTAAAAAAATCACTCCTCCCCCTTTAAGTCCCCATCCCAAGTGGACATCAGTCTGAGAGCTGAGGAAGAAGAGCTGTGCCTGACTGGAGCTGGTTGGAAAGCCTTAGTCTTAGCCTTAGCCAAGACCTCCATTTGCCTGGGCTGGAATGGTTGAGGATGAGGGCCAAGGACCAGAGAAGGAGGTATTGACAGGTGGTAGCCACCCTGTTCAACAGGATGAGTGTACATCAAGTTCACTTACAGCCCCCCTCCCACTTTCTCCAGACACACTTTCCAGCCATCCACCACCGCCCATTGGCCAGGTATACCTGCACACACACTGCCACCACTGCAGGGACCAGCCTCCTGCCTCCTGGAGGGAGACGATGTCAGGGCCCAGAGAAACTCTGCTACCTGCTCACCATCCACTCCCAATCCTCCAGGCCAGGTTGAGGGCCACAGTGTTTTCGTGAGTGTCTACTGCAGCCAATGGCCACCACCTCCTCCTATAAGCTTAAGAGGCTCCTGATGATTTGTATACACTAGAATGCTGAGAGGTAGAGTACACTCACCTCTTGATTAATGTTAAACAGGGACCTATGATTGAGGAGACACCGGTGATTGGCTGACCTAGTTCCCTAAGGAAGGAGAGGCGAGGCAGATAGACCCAGCCCTGAGCAGGGTGTGAGGGTCAGTCTGGCCCTGTCTGTAAGCCTCCCTGAAGTCTCTGGCCTCGTTGTGGTCCAGGAGAGAGTACAGGGCTGGGCACGTCTCCCAGAAATCTGCAAGACAGGGACTCACTTGAGGGGAGAGTGGCAGCCAAAGAGCAGAAGGAAGTGCACCTGGGAGGAAGGGCAAGGCCAGGGAGCTGGGAGTGGGTGGTGCTTTGCAGCTACAGAGGAGGCAACATGGGAGAATGAGTGCCCACCAGAGCCAAGCAAGGATGGAGACTCAGGTCACGGAGGAAAGGCAGGTGTGCCAGGCAGCCAGTAGGGTCCCCAGGGAGCCTACGCCAGCTCCCACCATAGCACTTGCCCCGGAGGCCAGCTTTGGGATGCTGGTAATTCTGGCTCTTCTCTAGCCTCCCCTGCTCCCCAGTAAGCTTCCCCACGTATACTACTCAGGGCAGCCTTCCCCAGACAGGGTTACAAGGATTCCTCAAAAAGAGACTTCCATGGTCAAATAAATCTGGGACATACTGGAGAATTCAGTTCTTTCCTACATGGTTTTGCATAGCCTTTCACGTGCCGGCATGCGCTGAGGCTCTGCAGGGAAGCTCGGGGATGGATTTCCCAAACTTATTTGGCCACAGAACCCTCTTCCAGAGAAGAGAGGAGGTATCTCCAGGCCCCTTTTGTCATGAATCCACAGTCTGGGAACAGCATGCTGGAGTTCTCCTCGGAGCCTTCTGGAGCTGTTTCATGGATGAGAAAACCTGCCCAGAGCTCTGGAGAGAACCCACTGGTAGGGCCTAGAAGAAATGGCTCCCAACGTGGTGTTCCAGAAGATTCCCAGCACCCTGCCTGCCGACTGCCTGGCACTGAGGGGCTGCCGTTCTGGCTTCCTGGGGCCCAGGCAGGGCAGAAGGGACGTCTCAAGGACCATTAGGACAATTAGGCAGTGAGTTCCCAATTTCCCCACCCTGCTTCCCTGTATCATCCTCCTCCCCGTCCCCTCCCCGCCCCCCCCTCCCACGGAGTCACATCTAGTAGACAGATTGTGAAGGAGATTTCCGAGCCCTCCACCCAGCCCTGACCCCGGCCCCTTTTGCGATAAGTGTGCCCCAGCGCCCGACTTGGTTTTCTCATTCATCACTGTGCACTTTGATTTCTAACCTGAGCCTCGCGGATGATGCCAGTTTGTTCTGTGATTTTTCCCCTTTTCCTTCTCCAGATGTCCAAACGGATTCTTCGGACAGAGATGTTTGGAGAAACTGCCTTTGCGATTGTACATGCCAGATCCTAAGCAAAGTATGTTTGAAGATACAAACACGAGTCCCCGCTCCTTAGAAAGCTTCCGGGTGCAGTCCCCCCACCCCCTGACGTAGGGCGTAGGGCCAGGGGTGTTGGTTGTTTTGATCTTTGGCTGTTTTGTTTTGTTTCTCTTTTCTTTTCTGTATTTTGTTTTGTTAGTTCTTTTTGTTTTGTTTTGTTTTGCTTTGTTTTTCATTTTTTGGCCTAATCCTTGGGTTTAAAGTTCAGGGCTACAGGTAAGGGGCATAGTGGCAAGGCCAGTACAAATGGTAACGTTGGCAAGGAACCCAGCTGGCATGGGCAGGAGCCATGCCAGGGTGTTGCAATGCCTGTGTCTTGCTATCCTGGCTCTCTCTTTCTGGTTTTCTTTCTTTTGGTAGGTGTCCTGTGGGATACACCGGGGACAGGTGTCAGCAGTTCGCAATGGTCAACTTCTCCAGTATGTCTCTTTCTTCTATTTCCTTTCTTCCCTGGTGACTGACAGTCTCCCACTGTGGGAGGGGTGGGGCCTTGCTGAGCAAGACTAGGGGGGGACACAGAGGTGCCCTGGGCTCCTCTCAGCCTTCAGTGCTCACAAGAAGCCTGTGCCGAGGAGACCCACACACCCCTGCCACCCCCACCTCTGCATCGCTGAACTGCCTGGGCGCAGTAATGCCACATTCTCCCTGCAGCCGGCCGGAGCACCGCTGCGGTGAGGCAGCCTGGCCAGCTTAGGCAGAAGCATTTGCAGAGCCCTCGCCTGCTTCCGAAGGCCGTTTTGAGGTCAGGCTGCCTCCGGGGCCGCGCAGTGAGTGTGTACACGTGTGTGCTGGTGTGCTTGACGGAAGCGAGTCCTCGGAAAGCCTGTCTTCGGGTCAGGCCAGAGTTGGTTTTGGTTTGGTTTTCGGGGTGTGGAGAAGGGGGGTTGAGGGAGAACAGCTCCCAAATGGCAATAATGTCCCTGATAACCAGAGACTGGAGACATTTTCATGGCTGCGGGATAGGGTGGGCCTTGAAGCAGAAGCTAAAAGATAGAAGGGCTGAGGAATCGAGAGAGAACTGGTAATTTCCTCCAGGCCCTCTCTGGTCTGAGTCCCCATCCAGGTGTCCATTCCTTTTCATTCTTCCACTTCTGAGGCTGGAGCTTTCTGGTGTACATGGTTTGCTAAAAAAATAAAAAATAAAATAACAACAACAACAACAATAATAATAATAATGTCAGCCCTGTGGCTTAAGGATGAGGCCATAATTGTGGTTTTATTTGGAGCTGGGAGCAGTTCCCTTCAAGTACCACCAGGTGGAGGTGAAGCAGAGCAAAAGGCCACAGGCTGGCCATGGACTCTGTTTGGGGTCTGGTGGTCTGTCGGCCTGCAAGCAGGACATCCTCCTAGCACATAGGCCCCTGCTTGCTCCCCCTCTACAGGGAGGACAGTGGGATCCCAGGAGGACTTAGGAACCACAGTGATGGGCCAGGGCATGGGCAGCTAACGTTCAAGAGGCTGAGGGAAGGACCCAGGAGGCTATTGAGATAGCCCTTGGAAAAAGGGGGTTCGAGTCCTCGGGCCACAGCACAATAGCCTAGAATGTGCTACCTTCTCCCTCCCCTTCTAGGAGCCTGGAAGCCAAGTCTTGGAGAGGAAAGTAGAGGCCCCAGGGAGGTAAGGGCTGGTCGGCCCAGATGGTCAGCTATCTTAATAGAGTGTGGGAGGCAGCACTCTCCCCAAGCTCCTCCAGTTGGAGGTCAGAGAGGAAGGCCATGGGGATAAGAACAGAGCCTGTGGGCAGGGCATGTGGCCCAACAGAATTCTCCAGAGCCCAAGCTCCAGGAAGAACTGCAGAGTCAGATCCAGCGCATTGGAGGGCCTTGAGGAGGGGGGGGGGGGGTTGACCTCAGGAGGGGCAGAGCAGCCAGGCAGAGGCTGAGCACCAGGGAGAGAGGCAGTGAGGCCTATTCCTTTTCACCTTTAGGTCCAGAGTCTCCCTGGGTTACGGGACTGTTCTGGACAGGGAGTCCCAGCCCATCCTGAGTCAGAGCAGCAGAGCCTCCCGAACTCGGCCACCGGCCAAGCTTCTCTGCCAGCTGGGCCGCTTCAGCTTTCAGCTCGGATCTGCTGGGAGGGTCAGCAAAGTCTCAGGAGCTCAGAAAGGAGCCTGGAAATGCAGCCCCAGGCCTTCCTGCCTAGAGCTATTGGGATCGTTGCTGGTACCTTGCTGGTTTTGGGTAAAAGAGTTATACTTCTCAAGCACTTTGCCCCAAGCGCTTCATGCAGTGCTCAATCAGGTCGTTATTAAAAAGGTAGCGGGTGATGCTAGTTGGAGTGTTCAGGCTTTGGTTTCAGAGAGACCTGAACAAAAATGCCAGCTGCTGAGCTTGCTAGTTCTGAAGCCTCACCTAACCTCTCTGCGCTTGTTTTTGTAAAATGGGGACTAACAATTCTGCCTGTAGGGTTGCTGTTAGGGTGAAATTATGTGAAGGGCTTGGCAGAGAGCCTGCCATGACTGTTTGAGTGCAGTTTAGGCATCAGCCCCCTGGAGGCTGACCTCCGGCATGTCCTGAGCACAGTGTCTGTCTGCCCAGAGCCTCTAGACTAGGTTACTTCTTGCAGAAGCCACAGAATCAGAGCCTCTGGTCACAATAGCACCCTGAAGCTTCTCTTCTTCCACTGACAGCCCCTCTACTTCCCAAGAGTCAAAACTGTGCATCTATACATATCAACCCCGTGTAAAAAAGCACACTCACCTGCAGATACGTGAACACACACACAAGCATGTGCTCTGGAGCCCACATCATGGCCCCCTTGTTCAGGTCTCTGTGACTGTGTATCATAGGACATGCCCAGGATAAGGATCTTGCATATTGCCTATTAAGCCTGGCCCTATTGGAACCCTAGCACCAGGTTGCCATGGTTACTGGTCAATATGAAGTTTCCACTCAGTAGGACCTGTCTGTGACTCAGTGTTGCCACTTTTCTTGTCTGAGTGGCATCCAGTGAGCACAAGTGGGAGACAGTTTTTCTTTGTTGGGGCTAGGCTATCTAGCCACAGGCCCCTCGGAATCCATACCCAGTGAGAGGGAAGCAGGACTGCCTTCCTGGTGACTGGCCAATCCCTCAGTGACATCACCAGCCACCACTGGTCCATCCTAAACAGTACTGGCCTTTGACTCGAAGGAGAGGGCAGTCAGGAGACCCGGAAGCTGCTGTTACTGCTACCGCTGGGCTCCTAGAGGAGGGAGCCCAAGAAAACTCCAGAACGGCTTTGGGAGCCCTGCTCCTCCTCCAGATGGTCACTGCCCTTAGGACTAGCTAGTCAGGCCTTCCCAGAGACCCAGTGGCCAGGAACAGCCATGGGGGAGCCCCAAGAGACTGGAGGCCAGGCTAGCTCTACGGACCAGTCTTCTTAGTGTCCCAGGTGCTGTGGTCAAGCTAGGCTGGTCTCTCTCAGGAGGCATGGCTGGTTATCTAGACTGTGAGCTTTCTCAAGCTGCCTGCAAGGTCCCTGGGGCCAGAGATTTAACCACTCAGGGAAAGCTGCCCCCAAGGATCTGTTTGTCAAGGTTGTACTGTCTCCTTAGCCCAGGGAAAGGTGTGGACTCGCTGTGTTCATGCTGACTCTTACATAAGGTGACCAGACGTCCTGCTTTTGTCGGGACAGTCCCGATTTTTAATAATTTGTCTCACATCCCGCAACGTTTAAAAAAAAAAAAAAAAGTCCCAATCTTTCCAAAAATCAAAGCGTAAGTTCACCTGCTCCCTAATCTAGCTGCACTTACTGAGTGCATTGGGTAGGCCATGGTGTGGGCCTGCACCTATGCTGAGCCACATGCTGACCTGGCCTTCTCACCTCTGAGCCCTCACTGTATGCAGGCACTTTTGACAAATGAGCAAAGATTATGACTTGTCCACATCTACACAGCAAATTAGAGGTAAAACTGAGCCTCGAGGCCTGCAGACAAGAATTGGCTGTAACATGAGAATAGTAGGCGAGCTTTTCAAAAACGCTGTTGAGATTTCTGGGCTCCCACCCCAGACCCTGATTTCAGTGATCAGAGGATTCTGAAGCCCAGCCAGGTTTCAAACTACCCAGATATGCCATGGTCAGGCCTAACCCCCATTTAACAGATAAGAGACTTCAAGCTAGACAGACTGGGCATGCTTGGGCTCACCCCTCAGGCCGGGCTCTCTGACCTAACCCTCGTATGGTATGCTGCACGTTTGCAATACGATCCCACTTTAAAGAATGCAGTTGGCCCACCACTTAAGGGGCACAGGTGTTCCACAAGTGAGCCCACTTGTCTCTCAGTGTTACAGTTTGCTTTGCTACATTGTGAAATCAGGCTCGGACCCTGAGGCCCAGCCCCTGTAGGCTTCTAGGGTGTTGGGGGTGCCACGTGGAGAAGTGACCTGCCACCTGGAGCCTCCTCCCCTCCCCACTCCTGCTCCCCACAAATTCTGAGTGTAAGTGCATGGGCTCCTGGTAGATGGGCAGCCAGCTGAGCCTGGGGGCAGGACAGAGACAAGGGGCCAGTCTGGGAGTCCTGCCCACCCGTCATTCTGAACATGGAGGAGCTCGGGTTAGAGCAAGCTGTTTCCAGGAGGGACTTGAGAGTGCCGAAGGCCTGCTGCTGCAGCTGGGAGGGGGAGAATGCAGACTCTGGATCCCCGTCCCCACTCAGCTTTCCTCCTCGGGGACACATGCCAACTGCCTCTCACCAGGTACTAGCCCCACAGTTCATCTCTAAAGAACCTGCCCTGCCTGCCGAGCCAACATTTCCTCTCTCCACCCCGTCAGGGGTCTTGGGGATGGGGTGCCAGGGAAAGGGCTCAGGAAGCTGGGAGGGGACACCACTAACCTGCTTTCACCTCACAGGCTGGCTGCTGGTGTCTGAAGAGTCCTGACCAACGTTTCTCTCTCTCTCTCTCTTTCTCCCTTGCCCCACCCTCGCCATCCCCCATCTATCTCTGTATCTCTCCCTCCATCCCTTCCCCTCTCTGACCCTCCTCTCTTTGCACTGCCAGAGCACCTTGGATTTGAACTAAAGGGTATGGAGCCTTCATTTATCACTACGTCCCGCCCACACAGCCCATCTCTGCAGCCTCTGACACCGTGTGTGCTGGATGTTTGGCTTCCTTTCCAAAACAAGGGAAAAGGATGATTCCAAAATTCTCCTCTGGCCCCACCAAGATGTCCAATCATAAACTACTTTTGTCTGGGGGAGATGAGGTGCTCATGAAAAGCAGGGCATCCTGGGAAACACACTGCAGCCTCAGTATATGGCAGCATCCCTCTGCCTGGGGCTGATGGGTAGGAGAGCCGGAGTCCGGAAGCCACGCATCTTGGTTTGGAGAGTTGTGAAGAAAGGCAGCACTTTCCACTTAACCTTAATCCCCCTTCCTTCTCCCATCTCCATCTCCATCGCTTCTCATCTCTGCCCTGTGCCCTGGGTCTGCCAGGCGTTGCCATCTGCTTGAGGCTGTCACTCCCTCCATGATCTGCCCCCACCATGGCATGCGTGTTCATCTGTAAGCAAGGGTCTGGGATGGGCCAGCCTCTAGTCTAGAGCCTGCCCCCCATTCCCCCGGGGAGAAGCTCTCCTCCCTCCCTCTCGTGTGTTCTGGCTCCTGGAGGACACCTCGGATGGGAAGGGGCTTGAGGGTCGGTCTGTCCAGCTCTCTGGCTTGGGTTGGGAGGCTCCACCCTGCAAGCGCCCAGACGTTTTGTAGCAGGAGAGAAGGGGGGGCACTCAGAGGGGCTAAGGCTTCTGTGCTGTCAGATTGCAGATGTGGTGTGAAGCCTACTGTTGTGAAAAGGCTGTTCTGGTGGCAGGTTTGGGGAGGCCCCAGTGTCCCCACCACCCAGCCCCTATCAGCTGTTCTCAGTAGAAGCTAGAGCTACAAGTCTGTGTGCAGTAGTGTGCCTGTCTGTGGACTGTGACAGGTGGGGAGGAGAGAGGCTAGTCTGGGCCGTGTGTGTGGTGGTGGCAGAGTGCATGGGGTGACTGTAGGGGTTCCCAGGGGTGAATCTATAGGGTTGTGTGTGTGTGTATGTGTGTGTGTGTGTGTTTGTGGGAGGGTGCAAGTGTTTATATCTGTTAGGCCAGTGGTCGGCAAACTCATTAGTCAACAGAGCTAAACATTAACAGTATAACGACTGAAATTTCTTTTGAGAGCCAACATTTTTAAATTTAAACTTCTTCTAATGCCTCTTCTTCAAAATAGACTCGCCCAGGCCATAGTATCTCGTGGAAGAGCCACACTCAAGGGGCCAAAGAGCCACATGTGGCTCTCGAGCCGCAGGTTGCCGAACACGGGGTTAGGTCTCTCTGTGCAGGATGTGAGTATCTGGAAGGGGGCAGTGGATACCTTGGTGTTAAGGTTGAGTGTGTGCAGTTGGAACTGTGAGGGTGTGGAGGTGTCATATGTAAATGTGTGTCTGTGTCTGTCACAGCGGTCTGTGCACTCCTTCCCTCACCAACTCAACAAGCATCTTCTGACCCTGGGATTTGCCAGAGTCTGGCGATCTGGCACGGCGCCCCTACCTTTCTGGGGCTCAGATTCACAGGATGAGACAGACAGTAAGACAAACTGGACAGCTATCAGGAGTGCTAAGTGCTATCCAGAAAATAAGATAATGGGATAGTGCCTGGCTGGGGTGGGAGCTACTTTAGCTGATTAGTCAGGGAAGGCTTGTCCACTGAGGTGACATTCAAAGACATGAAAAGTAGCCAGCCCTGCAAACACCTGGGGGAGAATGTCTGAGGCAGGGCCATGGCAAGGCAATGGACACAAGACTGCCAGCGACTCTGGAGCTTAGCGGACATGGGGAAGAGGACCACAGGTGAGAGCTGAGAGGAAGAGTGGAGCCAGGTAACCTGGGCCTCACAGGCCACGGTAAGGTTTTGATTGGTATTTAAGTTGCAGTGGAAAGTATTGTGAGAAGCAAAGTGCTTTATGGCGGTAGATCAGTATGGCTTTTGGCTGGAGAACAGATGGGGTTGGGGGAGAGGCGGAGAGGAGTGGAAGCAGAGAAACCAGTCGGCTGTCCAGGTGAGAGATGGCATCATCTTGGACTAAGCTGGCAGCAGTGGAAATGGTGAGAAGTGATCAGAACCAGCATCTACTGGGGAGGCGGAGCTGAGGCCTGGCTGATGGATTGGGTGCCAGTGTAGGTGGGAAGGCGGGGAGCAATCAGAGATGATTTGGGGCCTGAGAAACGAGAAAGTTGTGGTTTCCACTGAAGAGATGGGAAGAGCAGGGAGCAGGTTTGGAGAGATGGGGGATCAATGCTTGTGCCAGGCCATGGCCCTTGGGTGTAGGCGTCTGGAGCTCAGAGAGAAGTCAGCACAGGAGATAAATATTTGAGAGTCAGCTGCATAGAGATGGCATTTAAAGTCTGGGTGAGATCACAAAGGGAGAGAGGGCAGGTGGAGGAAATAAAAAAAGCCTGAGAGGCCTTCTGCACCACAGCCCACAGAGAAGACAGAGGCTTCTATGACAGAGGCCACCCAGTGAAGGGGGAGGCAACCCTGGAGCCCAGCAGGGGAGTGGGCCCAGCAGGGAGTCAGGTGGTCAGTGACCCCGACCAGGGTGGCTTCAGAGGAGGGATGGAGACAGATGTCTGACCTGAGAGGACTGAGGGATGACGGTGATGACAACTGGAGGCAGGACACCGACCCCAGAGCCCCGAGATGATCATGTGTAGGCAGACATGATTGCACGTACACATGCATGTGCGTGTGCATATGTGCTGCTCTGGATGTGTGTGAATGCATCTTTGTGAGGAGGGTCTGTGTGTCTCGGACAGGCATGGTCCCACAGGTATGTGTGTCCAGAGGGTTGCTCCCAGGTGTCTGCAGATGGGTGTTCCTTTGCCACAGGAGGTGCAGCAAGCCCGAGGGCTTAGGGAAGTTTCCCGGGGTTCCACCAAGGCCTTCAGGGCCAGCCTTCCCTTTTCCCTGTGCTGGCAGGAGAGGAGCGATGTGGAAGGGCCAGCCAGTGGGTGCAGCTGGGGCAGGCAGGGTGTCTAGGCTATATGTCTTGACTATGGCTGGTACTGTCATCTTCTCCCTTTCCTTCCTCCTGCTTTATCTGTTCTAGAAGGGTAGAGGGCACACCACCACGGAGTGGGAGGTGGAGGAGCTAGTCGGGTCATTCTGAGGCCTGGCCTAGCTCAGCCGCTCAGAAAGGGTGGGGCTGTGCCTGGAGCATGAGGACTGTCCTGAAGCACGGGCTGTGCTGCCCCTGATGGCCTTCTCACAGCCACCGATGGGGAGGGCTGGCTCAGGCAGGGCTGCAACCCTGGCCTGGCTGCAAGGGTGAGCGAAGGCCTTTCCCCGAGGGCCTGGTCTGCTCTGTCCAGCCTCTGGGTCAGAGGTCCGGTCACCAGCCCTGAACAGACCACTCTCCATCTTCGTAGAGAAGCTGCAGTAGCAGGCCAGGCCTCTGCCCAGGGTTGCCATGTTTGTCACCATTAAGAACAGCTTCCCCAGCCTGTCAAGGCCATAGTGGGACAGGGCAGGGCTGCTGACCAAGCTGGGTTGCCCTCTTCTATGGCCTTGGGGCTTCGCCTCCATCCCCTCATCCCGCTGCATTCTCCACTCACGTGCCTCGGGCAGGGTGCGGGGTTTGGGAAGGTGAATACGGGCATAGTCACTTGTGCCCAGATCCACGGTGGGTGGAGTTCCAGGGAGCAGAAGGCAATGGTGGGGGAGGGGGATGCACGAAGGTAGGAGACTGCTGGGGAGGGGAGGAGGAACAGGAGCCGGGCAGGACCTGAGCTGGAGAGCGCAAGGCTTTGGGGCAGGGGGTGTCTGCGCCACTATCACCACAGGTCCACCTCCTGCCCGGCTCCCTCACATTCCGTGTCTCTGCAGAAGCCGAGGAGCTGTACCAGAAGAGGGTCCTGACTATCACCGGTATCTGCGTGGCTCTGCTTGTCGTGGGCATCGTCTGCGTGGTCGCCTACTGCAAGACCAAGTGAGTGTTGGGCTCTGAGCCGGGCAGGCCAAGCCAGGGCTGGGCTCACGGACAGCTTTGTGAGGCCAGGCTCTCCTCCCCCGCCCGTGGTGCCTGGCCAACCCCCTTCACACCTTCATACCCCAGCTGCCCTCTGCCCTTCCTGTGGGGCCGAAGGGCTGGGCCAAGAGGCAGGAACAGGGGTGGGGGAGGCAGGCCCCAGAGCACTGAACAGGAACGGTCGTGAGCACAGGCATTGTGAGGAGACGGATCTGGGTTTGAATCCAGCTCTGCCATTTCCCGTGTGACCCTGAGCAAATGGATGAATCTCTGAGTCCTCCTCTACAAAATGGCAATGATCCTCAGATGTGCCTCAGAGGATGCTCTGAGGGAGCATCTGCCCTGTCACACAGGCACACATGAGGCAGCTTTGGGGGGTGGGGGAGTGCAGAGAGAAAGGATACATTCCCAAGGTAAAAGGAGATCTCACAAGGCAGTGCCTGGTCCCACCTGGGAGCAGGCCAGGCAGGAACACAGAGAAAGTTGGGTTGGGCCACCCCTAGGCAGCGGGAAGGTGGGGGCAGAACCTCAGGGCAATGGGGAGAAAAGGGCAGTTTCAGGAGTCAGTGCAAGCTAAAGTCAAATGCAGGAGAGGGTCAGCCATGTTCCTGGAGCATACGCAGGACTGGCAACTGGCAACCAGACCAGTTGGTGCAAAGGACTGGAGTCACAATAAAACAGCTGGAACCCAGATGGCACCATAGAGTCTCGAATGCCAATCTAGGGAGGCTGGGTTTACCCTGCATGCAATGGGAGCCAACCAAAGTGTAGAGAAATGAAATGCAGAAAAATGACAGGTCTGTCACATTCTCATCTGCAGAGCAAGAGCCTGGGCATAGCCACCATTTGGGGGACTGAGCCCTCGGGTCTTGGACCCTGCCACCCGTACATGGGATCTGAGGCCCTGCCAGCCTCGGTCTGGATGAGTCCAGGACCAGAAAGGTCAGAGGGAGGCATGGAGGGAGTCAAGGAGGGGAGATTGGGCCCAAATAGGAAAATTGAGGTCACAAATTGGGGGGTGGGGGTGTGAAGCAAGCCCCCTGTTCTAACCCCCACTGCACTTCCTCATTTTCTCAAGAAACTTTTCTTCAATACTTTGTAGACACCAAGCCCTACACCAGGAACATGGCCAGTGCCCTAAGCAGGAGGGCCAGTATCACAGGACACATTTCAGGAGGGCAGGCAGGGTTTCCCCAGAGGAGCATTTGGGCTGGGCCTGAGAGATGAGCAGGAGTCAGCAGGTGAAGAGGAGGAGGGTGAGCTCCTGTTGGCTATAATAGTCTGTGCAAAGGCCCAGAGGCCAGAGAGGGCAGCCATAGTAGAGGATCAGAAACAAGCCCTCCGAGGCTGCAGCAAGCTGGGCTGGGAAGTGGCCAGGGAGAGACAGAGCTGGGAGGGAAATGGGACCTGAGGGCCGAGGAAGGGTTCTACACGGGAGTGGCATGATTGGACTGGCTGATTACCATACAAATGTAGTGAGCACTTACTGTACACCAAAGTGAAGCAGCCCCACAGGCCTCAACTCCCTGACCACAGCGCACTTATTTTCTTCCTAACGCTTTGCTGAAAGTATCTTGTTCATGTTGTTGTTTATATGTTGATCACTGGCCTGCCCTGCTGATCTGCAAGCTCTGTGAGGGCAGGGCCCGTGTCTGTCTCCCCTGCTCCAAACAGCACCTGGCACATAATAAAAAGCCAGTAAACACTAAAGGAGCTAATGATGGAGGAGTGGGCCACCGCTGTGCTGGAAGATTTTATTTACCCTCAATCCTCTGGGTATTTGGGATGGGTAAATGATCAGCCCGTTTTACAGGTAAGGAAAGTGAAACAAGGAGAATTTATGTAACCAGGTTTGCACAGCTAGAAAGTAGTGGAGTTCTACTCTCTCAGCAGAGCCAAACTCATTACCACTCCGCTCAGGTCCTGTTGAACTCAGGCTGGTGGTGATGGTGATGGTGATGGTGATGGTGATGGTGATGGTGATGGTGATGGTGTCGGGACAAATTAGAGGGTCCTGGCTGAGCAGGGCAGGAGAGGAGACTCGTCCCGCTGGAGGGGCAGTGAGGGGAGTTCATGCATTGTGTGGGGGCATGGCAGGCCAACGCACCCTTCCCCTGTGCAGAAAACAGCGGAAGCAGGTGCACAACCACCTCCGGCAGAACATGTGTCCAGCCCACCAGAACCGAAGCCTGGCCAATGGGCCCAGCCACCCCCGGCTGGACCCCGAGGAGATCCAGATGGCAGATGTGAGTGGTGTTCCCAGGTCTCCCTCTGAGCCCTAGCTGCACAGCCAGCCTTCTGGTGCCCCTAAAGGATGGACCAGGGCAGCAGCCAGCCCCTCCCATGCTCAGCCTTGCTTGCTAGCCTCATCTTGCCCCACCAGGCTGACTGGCCTCACTCTGCCTGTCTCCTTAAGAAAAGACAGGTGGGGTGGATTTGCAGGGGCCATTGCTGCCCCAACACCAAGCCACTGACCCAGTGGGCAAGCCCCTTCCCCCAAACCTGGAGTTAGTGCTTCACTTCCCCGTTCCCCCCAGAAAGGAGTGCCAACGTGGCTACCTGTCACCAATTCCTGCCCAACTCTCTGTTCCAGTATATCTCCAAGAACGTGCCGGCCACAGACCACGTCATCCGAAGGGAAGCCGAGACCACCTTCTCCGGGAGCCACTCCTGTTCTCCGTCCCACCACTGCTCCACAGCCACACCCACTTCCAGCCACAGGTGGGCACCCCAAGGTCCCCACAGAGACCTGCAGCCCGCAGACAGCGAGGACCCATGCATCACACACCTGCCTGGGACACACAGAGCTCCCAGCAGACTCTGTATGGAGGGTCCCTCTGGGTGGACCCTCCATACAGAACCCAAGGCCAACGTTCATCCCAATATTCAGGGGACCAGATTCCCTCTTCCTAAACCAGCCCCAGAGGAACAGCAGCATTGCTGCTCTCCCACCTAACGTTTAGTGTTGTGAGGACCTCATCAGCGCCATTTTCTCTGGCATAAAGTGACAACTCACTCCACTGCCCCGAGCGATTAAATGCCCTCTCCTGGGTTTGCCCACAGGAACCTAGTCCTCCTTTTGTCCGGAGGTGGGCAAGACTGTCCACACAAGCACAGAGGCTCACACAGCTCAAAATACGTGGCCCTGTTCTTCCCTGGGCACCAGCATGGCAGAGGCAGGCTCCCTTGTGCTGGCCCCTGGGGCTGAGCTCCTGAGATTGGTCCATGGGAGTGGGAGAGCCGAGCCTGGGGTGGGGAGTTGCAGGGAGGAAGGGAAGAGGCCTGTGCATGCTGCAGCTCACCCACAGGGCCCAGCCCTCCTTCTCCCCATGCTGGGGTGGGGCATTTGTGATACTACACATCACCCCCAAGTGGAGAAGGGCAGTGAGCTGGGGGAGCCTGAGATGGAATGAAGAACAGGGAGGGGCGGGGCCTGGGACCATATCTGCTGTGCTGCCTTGCCCCTTCCTGACCCCCACCTCACTTCATTCCTGGCTTCTTCAGGCATGAGAGCCACACATGGAGCCTGGAACGTTCTGAGAGCCTGACCTCCGACTCGCAGTCGGGCATCATGCTGTCATCAGTGGGGACCAGCAAGTGCAACAGCCCAGCATGCGTGGAGGCCCGGGCACGGCGGGCAGCAGCCTACAGCCTGGAAGAGCAGCGCAGGGCCACCATGCCACCTTACCATGACTCCATAGACTCCCTGCGTGACTCCCCACACAGCGAGAGGTCAGTCCCTACCTCGTGACCTATGCCCCCCTTGGCCAGAGAACTGGCACCTCTGACCAGGGCTGTCCCTTACAGCACCTCACAGACATTCCAAAGAGCTTCATCCCCAGTTTCGCATCTGCTCAGTTTCATCACCACGTTAATGACAAACTAGGTCTAGAGCTGGGCCAGTGAACCCTGGTGTGCAGTGACCATCTAGTTTAATTGTCCTCCCTTTTCAGAGTAGAAGAGGGAGTTAATAATTGCAGTGCAGCAACAGGAACAAACAGAGAAGATCCCGAACAAACCAGAACCTATGCTTGCTTTACTTTGGTATTACCTAGAGGCCCCGTGTCCTGGCAGGAACAGAAAGACACTAAGACTGAGCAGAATGGAGGAGGAAAGGAGAGGTTGCCTGTGCGGAGACTGACCAGGGCAGGCCCGGGCAGTACCAACAAGGCCCCGTGGATCATGGCATCATTGGATTCCTGAGCAATGGATGCAGTGAGAACCAGGAAAACTCCTTTCTCCCTGATTCCAAGCCAGAAGTCACAGGGGCCAGCCCCCGTCTTGCTCAGCCCTCAAGTGGCCCTTGGCAAGTGGGGTCATTGGCAGGAAAGCAGAACTACAGGCTGGAGTGGAGGGAGAGGAGCAGATGCTCCCCTATTCTCAATTCAGCCTACTCCAGGCTGTCCCTGTGCTGGGCAGGTCTGTCTGGGGGTCCACATGGTCAAAATCCACATGGTTCTTTCTCCCGAGGAGCTCCAAGCCCTGGGCACAAAGCACTGAAAGTGCCAAGCACAGGACACCCAATCAGGGCAGAGACATCCAGTGTGACTGCAGGCTCTGGGAAGTAGCCAGGTTCTCCAAGACCCAGCTCCACCACCTGTGTGGCTTGGGGCAGGATGATCACCACTGTGCCTCTGTTTCCTCAGCTGTAGAACAGGAGCATCATCACGGTTGTGACGGGCACAGAGAGGTCTCGGGCACAAAGCTCTTTACCTCCTGCCTGGCATGGAGCTGGTACTCCTTTGGTGTAGCTGTTGTTACCAATAGCAATTGAACCGCTTAATGGTTGGGAGGTAGCGTAATGGAGAAAACATGCCAGGCAAGGGGAACATCTTGAGCTGTTCTAGCAGAGGCACTTCAGAACATAGCTGGTGAGTGAGATACTTGGAGCAGAGAGAGCTGTGGAGAGAGGAGCTGGGCCTCAATAGGCAGGCTGAGGCCAGATGGCTAGCTGATAGCCCTGGGCTTCTGCTTAGAGGTGGCCTTGGATGGGTAAGCAGAGCTTTGACTTTAAAAGATTGCCCTGGGGACTGCATAGAATGAAGGAGAAAGGACCCTGGGGTGGAAGGATGACCAGAGTGAATGAGACCCAGGAAAGGGTGAAGCAGGGAGGAAGGCTCCAGGGGAGGGGGAATGAGTACAACTTGGTGGTTAGTTAGATGTGCATATGGGAGAGGGAAGAGAGGGGAATCAGGTGATTGAGAGAGTAATGCGGACTCCGGAGAGCAGTGAGGTGCCACTCTACAGTTTGGAGGAAAGACATGGAGGTAGGTGATTCCCATACTGAGGTGGACAAATGTTGAGCAAAAGGCTGATGGACTTCAGCAAGGGGGGTGTGGACAAAGAAAAGGGAGAAGTGTCTGGGATTCAGACTGGGAGATATTAGCAAGGGCCAACTTTTGGAGGAACTGGTATTCTTTAGCCCCAGCAGAGACTCCAGTGGGGTCTTGGTAGCTGTCAGTTCTGGGCTGAGGATCCTATCTGAGGTGTGAGCAGTCACTTCCCTGGGGCAGCTTTTAGTTTCAATATAAAAAATAATAATTCCCCTACTGAAGCCATTGCCATTGAATGAATTGTCCCTGCAGGGATAGTGAGTCCAACTCACAGGGATGACTGAATGGGAACAATTGGGCAGTATGAGTTCTGGTTCCTGCCCAGTCTCTGTTCAAATCCCAGTTCCACCACTTCCTGGCTGTTGAACTTTGGCTAATATACAAATTGACCAAATGGCAGAAAGACCGGTCACTATGACACGCACTGACCACCAGGGGGCAGACGCTCAATGCAGGAGCTGCCCCCTGGTGGTCAGTTCGCTCCCACAGGGGGAGCTCGGCTCAACCAGAAACCAGGCTCCCAGCTGGTGAGTGCAGCAGTGGTGGTGGGAGCCTCTCCTGCCTCCGAGGCAGTGCTAGCAGGCCTAAGCCATCAGTCAGACGTACCCCCAGGGCTCCCAGACAGCAAGAAGGCACTGGCCAGGCTGAGGGACAGCCCCCCCCCCCCCAAACCAGTGCATGAATTTCATGCACAGGGCCTCTAATATGTTATATGGGACTGGGTCCTATTGGGTTAATGTACTATATGAGATCTGGCATGTCAAATGCCCTAGCCTGAGCCTTACCCAAAGTAACAAAGGACCATTTATGGAGGCTTATCCAGGGTCCGGTAGGCACTGGACTATAACATCCCGTTGATACATCTATGGACTTGTGGTTATCCTCACTTAAGAGATAAAGCAGTGGTGGGCAAACCCACATGCGGCTCTTTGGCCCCTTGAGTGTGGCTCTTCCACAAAATACCATGTGCAGACGCCCACGTATGTTGTGACTGAAACTTCATGGCCTATGCGCAGAAGTCGGTTTTCGGCTCTCAAAAGAAATTTCAGTCATTGTACTATTGCTATTTGGCTCTGTTGACTGAGTTTGCCCACCACTGCGATAAAGAAAAAGGCTGGGAACGGTTAAGGAAATTGCTTAAAGTCACTAATGATTAGCACCTTAGTTCTTTTTTAAAAATATATATTTTATTGATTTTTTTACAGAGAGAAAGAGAGAGATAGGAGAGTTAGAAACATCCATCAGCTGCCTCCTGCACACACACCACTGGGCATGTGCCGGCAACCAAGTTACATGCCCTTGACCGGAATGGAACCCGGGACCTTTCAGTCCGCAGGCTGAAGCTCTATCCACTGAGCCAAACCGGTTAGGGCAGCACCTTAGTTCTTGCAGGTGTGCGTGGCCTCCGGAAAGACTCGTGCTTTTCCTGGGTTCCGCCCGGGCCCACGCCTCTCCCTCTCCCCGCAGGTACGTGTCGGCCCTGACCACGCCCGCGCGCCTCTCCCCGGTGGACTTCCACTACTCGCTGGCCACGCAGGTGCCGACGTTCGAGATCACGTCCCCCAACTCGGCGCACGCCGTGTCGCTCCCTCCCGCCGCGCCCTTCAGCTACCGCCTGGCGGAACAGCAGCCGCTCCTGCGGCACCCGGCGCCCCCCGAGGCCGGGCCCGGCGCCGCCGCCGCCGCCGCCGACATGCAGCGCAGCTACGACAGCTACTACTACCCCGTGGCCGGGCCCGGGCCGCGGCGCGGCGCCTGCGGCCTGGGCGGCAGCCTGGGCAGCCTGCCCGCCAGCCCCTTCCGCATCCCCGAGGACGACGAGTACGAGACCACGCAGGAGTGCGCGCCCCCGCCGCCGCCGCCGCGCGCCCGCGGCGCGTCCCGCAGGACGTCGGCGGGGCCGCGGCGCTGGCGCCGTTCGCGCCTCAACGGGCTGGCGGCGCAGCGCGCACGCGCGGCGCGGGACTCGCTGTCGCTGAGCAGCGGCTCGGGGTGCGGCTCGGCCTCCGCCTCGGACGAGGACGCGGACGACGCGGACGGGGCGCTGGCGGCCGAGAGCACGCCCTTCCTCGGCCTGCGCGCGGCGCACGAGGCGCTGCGCTCGGACTCGCCGCCGCGGGGCGGGGCGGCGGACAGCAGGACTTACTACTCGCTGGAGAGCCACAGCACGCAGGCCAGCAGCAGCAGACACAGCCGCGGGCCCGCGCGGGCCAAGCAGGACTCGGCGCCCCTCTAGGGCCCGCCTCCCTCCTCCCCTGTCTTGAAAGAGAAGGGCGACCACCAAACTTGGAGAAAGGAGGAGAGAAAAAAAAAAAAAAGAAATAAAAATATTTTTATTTTCTATAAAAGGAAAAAAGGTATAACAAAATGTTTTATTTTCATTTTAGCAAACATTGTCTTACAATACTAGCTAAACGGCAAAGACGTTTTTATAGGGAAACTATTTATATGTAACATCCTGATTTACAGCTTCGGGAGAAAAAAAACAAAACAAAAAGAAACAACAAAAAAAAAGAGAGATGGGCCAATTTTTTGACTCTTTAATAGAAACCTATATTGTGGTGCCTTTTGCTGTACGCTAATCTGGAGCTCCTGGAGAAAAAGTCTGGGTTGTGGGGTGGGGGTGGGGGGATGCAGGATCCGGAGCTGGTGCCGGCGAGAGGAAGCAGGTAGAGAGAGGCTGCAGGGGTGGGGGGTGGGGGGTTGGGAGGGACCGAGTTGCGCAGCTGTGATGGGTGGGCCCTTTGCCCCCTTGCAAGATCTCGAGTCCTGCATCCCCTGGGAAAGGCCAGGGATCCTAGGCTTGGAGCTAGCGTTGGTGTCAGGTCACGTCTAGAGGGAGACTAAGGCCCAGCGACAGCAACCTGAATGGGGCGGGGGCCTCCCCACTCCTCAAAGCTGCTAAGGGAGGAGGCACTGAGAACCAGGTCTTCCCAACAGTCCCCGCCCCAGGGAGGGGGCAGCTCTGCCAGGGCCCCACCGTTGGAGGCTCCTCCTCCCCACGGCCTCCAGGACGCCCCTTGTCCTCTGCAGCACCTTCGTTTACAGGTCGTCTTTTCTATTACGCCTGCATGTTCTTTGCATTTCAGATTCTTTAGATTGGATGCATGGTCACGCTGGGACCTAGAAGAGCCACTCGACAGTGTATTTGATCCCCCTTTTAGCAATAAAGTAACATCATTTCCTTCTCAGTCCAACGCCCAGCCTCCATCCCACCTACGACTTCTGCTCCCTCTCCAGCCCCGCCCTCCTCACCCCCGAAAACTGGGTCCACTGCTAATTTGTCCAAAAGGTAATTGTTTAAAAAAAAATACTCCCAAACAAATGAGAACCCTGCCCTGAAATGTCCAAACACCTGACTGTTGACACTTGAACATTTTTATATTATAAATAAAAGCAGAAATAACTCATGTTTGACTGTGTGTGCCTAGCCCTCAGGTGAGGAGGGCAGACGGAGGATGAAGACTGGGGTGGAGATGGATGGATGTTGGTGTGGAAGTTGGAGAGGGCCAGGGTCATCCATGGGAGGAGGACACTCCCTCCCATCTCCCTGGCTCCTGTTCCCAGGGCAGGCCCCAGCACTCCTCCCTCTCCGAGGACTTTGACCAGGCATCCATCCCCCTGGCTGCGGGGGAACCCGGCCAAGGGGCTGATGCAAATTCCTCCGCTTCAGGCTCAGCCTCAGAACCCTGGCCCAGTTCCGGCTCTGGAGCGACAGGGGCCCTACTGAGGCAACAACTTCCGGGCCGAGGCGGGTGAGGAAGGAAGGATTGTGGGGTTGGCACGGGGGCAGCTGAGGCAAGGTGACCCTTGGGGCTGCGGGCATGTCACAGGCAAAGTCTGGACTTGCCAGGTGGATAATGGGTACCTAGGCTTGATTTAGTGATGGCGATGAGGAATCTCCATCTAAGCCACCAGGAGGACCACAGCTGCTGCAGCTTGTAAGCCCACAGGGTGTTACCTTTTTCCCAACTCTAGACCCCAACTCAGAACGAGGGCTTGTCTAAACCCGAAATCCCCGATTAATAAGAGTATGTGACTTCAGGCATGGAGAAGGCAGAGGAAGGTCCAGGGTTAAGAAGCCTTTGCCCTCATTGATTCATTGATTACACCCATGCCCAGCCCCAGGAACCATTCTGTTCCAGCCCAACATGAGGAAGTCTTCTACCCAAATTGCTCAGGTGTTTGACTTGTGTGCACATGCGCGTGAGTGCCCTCAGGCTGTGTCTGGTCAGTTGGGAGACCTACAGATGAGAGGGACAGAGAGGTTTAGGGTCGAGAGGACCTAGATATCAGCAGGGTCTGAGCTCAGATTCCACCTCCACCCTCACTACCTGTGTGATTCCTCTAGCCTGCCGTTTCCTCCACTTCAATGACGATGCTAATACCTCCTTCAAGGGGTTGCTGTGGAGCTTATCTATGTGAAGCACCCAGTGTAGCTTCTGGCACAGGATACAGGCATACCTTGAAGATATGGCAGGTTCAGTTCCCGTAAAGCAAGTCTTGCAATAAAGCAAGTCATAATATTTTTTTGCTGTTGAAGGGTCTTGCCTTCAGTTTATAAAATACTCAACATTTGTGAGGCACGATAAAGCAAAATGCAATAAAATGAGGTATGCCTGTAGGTGCCTGTTGAGAGCTAATTTGATGATGGTGATGAGGATAACTTGTGTCTTGCATTCTTGACTCAAAGTAGCAAAAACTAGATGAAAGGAAGGTTAAGGAACTCAAGTCATTGTATTCATAGTGGGAGCACTAGAACAAAAAACACATTACAAAGAAATAAATGAAAATAATGAACTAAATGCTATATAAACCTGCAAATCACTGACCTAGCCTCAATCTGATAGTCATTCGATCCCTCTACTGGCTCTGAGTTTGCTGTTGGCTTTAAAATTTTCCAAAAGCCAGTGGTTCCTCTGTGTGACCCCCCAAGTAATTAGGGTTGAACTCTTGGTGAACCCATTGACCTCTCCATGACCCCAAGTAATTAGGCTTGACCTCTTGGTGAACCCATTGACCACTCCATGACCCAGTTTAGTGTTCTCATTTGACCCTTCTGAGAGAGTGTTGCTGTTATCTACCTTCTAAACTTTTGGTCAGAAACCACCTCCATGACTCCGCTGACCTCTCTATGACCCCAAGTAATTAGAAATGAACTCTTTGTGAACCCATTGACCTTTTTTTTGACCCCAAGTAATTAGAAATGAACTCTTCATGAACTCATTGACTTCTTCATGACCCAACTTAGTGTCCTCATTTGACCTTCTGAGGGTCAAGTTGCTGTTACCGTCTAAACTTTTATCAGAAACAACCTCCATGACTCCGATCAACCCACCAACCTCTATGTGACTCCAAACGATTCTGAATAACCGCCTGATAAACTTATGGGCTTTCACGTGACCCCATTTAGTGCCTTCATTATCTGCTCTGGACTCTAAGACACCTGCTGAGAGTCTAAGGCTGGAACCTAATGTAGTCCTTGATTCTTTTCTCATCTTTGTGGCTACTCATTCATTTCACAGGTGTGAAAGGAACCTGGGAGCAGGCCTTTTCTCTGCGTCTCAAATTTCTGCTTTGGGGCATTTTCAGTTGGCCTGTCAGGAAGAGGTCCAGTCCAGTAAGTGACTTCCCTACTACCACCCTGTCTCCAGGAGCACTTACGACCTTTGTGGGCAGCTTCCTGAATCAGTCTTTTTCCTCACTCCTCCAATTCTTCCTTCTCTCTGCCAGGTCATTTTTGGCTTGTCTCCCCAGTCCTCCCAGAGTCCCAAATGGTGATGGTGACTGTCTGTCTCCCTCCCCTCTAGACTGTGAGCCCCACGTGGACAGGTAGCTGGTCAATCCTTTTCTCCCCAGCAACCACTGCAATGTGCAATACTGTTGAGCTTCATTGAGTGAGAGGATGAATGCTCGAGACACTGTCTTCAAGAGGCAGCCTCCAGGAGTCCCTGAGCTGCAGCCACTTCCCAGGACCAGTAGGTGGCGCAACCACTTGCAGCATCTCACCTGCGTCCTCCAGTCCTCGGATTTGGACAGTCCTGGAAAATGGGCATTATTTTGTGGGGTGAACATATGGTCCATTAGAATGCAGGAAAAAAAATATCAGAACTTTGATTTAGATTTATTTTCATCTCATCTTTTTTAAATTTCTATTTTTGTGTATGTTTTATAATGTACATAATATTTTAGTACAGTAGAACATGTATATAATTTACAATAAATAATTATACAATTAAGAAAGTGAGCTAAAAAATGGTTTTTACTGATCGGAGGCACAGTGCTCAGGGAAGTACATTTGTCTGCAACAGACAGGGCTTGCTCCTCTGCTTTCACTCACCTGCCCTCAGAAGGTGGATAATGGGAGGCTGACCCCAAAAATCAAAAGACCTTTGAGACAGCACGGAGAAAGCACAGAGAGCTCTTTATGTTGCCACACTGTTCTTTCAATTTCACTTAAACGAGCATTTAAGTATCCTCAGCAAAAGGAGGAGTCAGATGGTTTGATTATAAGTACACGTCAGCTGATCCCAAATAAATCATCTGCTTTTCATCCTTGGTTATCAGGGTTCTCTCCAACTAGTCCTCAGTTGACTTTTCAGGGTGGTTCTTCTGTATTTTAGTTGCATTTCCAGTTTGGTCCTGGGAGAGTGTTATTGTCGCTTCCACCTACTCCGCCACCATTTTTCACACAATCCAAGTGAAATAATCTGGATTTAAATCCCTACATCTCTCCACAGATTCACCTATCTCTTGCATCAAATGAGTGGACTTGTACTTATTGCAAGGTGCTTAGTTGCAAGGTTGACTTATTAAAACTAAATATGTTACCACTGAGATCAAACTGCTGGCCAAGCTACAGCAATCTATTTTAAAAATAGAAAGGATTTACTCATCATAGCTCCATTGAAAGTGTCATCACCCCCACCATTTGTCAGTCTGAGGAACTCAGGGTTTAAAGAATGCTAGTCTGTTATTATCATGTGGCAAATTTCTTTCTTCCCCAAAATGTCCTTAGATAGCATTTCTGAAATGGTGAAAGAAATATCAACTTAAAAAAAAAAAATCAGCAACTTGTCATTCCACCTTTTCCCAAGACCAAGATGGTTTCCACAACCTTTCCCCCATCCAATCTCTTCCAGCTTGTTGACAAGTGGCTATTTGCAAGGCAGATTGTCTTTTATTCCTGTACCAGTAGGTCAGAACAAGAGGCCATCTCTGGAGCTCAGAGACCTGGCAGCACCAACATAAAGACCAAAAAATAAACAGAGCCACAGTCCCATCCCACTCACACACCATGATGCCGGTGGGACAGGCAGGGTGGCGCACACACACACACACACACACACTGCCTATTTATTCCAAAACATCAACTGTAAGAGCTATGTAAGTCACAGGTCAGCCGGAAGTGGGGAATGGAGCGAGAAAAGGTCAACACCGTTTCCACCTTTCCTCCCAGAGTGCCAGGGCCACCGTGGGGCCAGACAGCAGCCCTGAAATAGGCTTTTCCTTCATCTTATTCTATCCTCTAATTGATGTCAGTTCCAAAACCATCCTTAAAGGGGGTTTCATATAGATACATAATTCCTATATCTATACACTTGTGTCCGTATAAAAGAAAGCAGCAGTGGCCTCGATGGATGGAAGGAGAGGCGGATGCACACAAGAGTGGAGACAGCTCGGCACGGAGGAGCAGGCCCGAGTCCTGGATTATTGCAATGTGAGAGGGAGAACGGGGTGCGAGTCCAGAGGTTGCTGTGTAGAGGGAGGGAGGATAGTGCTGGTGGTCTGCAGACCTGCTGCTGCTCAACTCAGAGGAAGGAGGAGGAAAAGGGGTAGGGGTCCACGCTGAGGCCTGGAGTCCAGGCCTGGCCTCCGAAACAAGGGAGATGAGGACAGGACTTGTGAGAAGACGAAGGCCTGGGAAGTCCACTGCCCTTCCCGCTTCACCAGTGAGATGGTATATGGAGCATGCACACAACAGGCCTACACAATGAGGCTCCATCGTGGACAGGGATGCAAGGGCTGAGGAGAGGGTCTGAGGCCCAGAAAAGCCCTAGAATACAAAATCAATGCCGTGAATAGCATCTCCATCCTCTTGGCTCATGGGGCTCTCCACACCCCTGTGGCTGCCCGTCAACTGCCTGGAGCTGGCCCGATTGGCCTGTGGCTGGAACTGTGCTCTCTGGCCCTCTGGGGGCATTTGCCTGCCTCTGGGGCCTGCTCATCCATGCCAGCTAAGTTTCAGGTCCAGTGGTATCCTTCGTGGCTTTGCTGCCAGTCACAGTTCCATGGCCCTGACTGAGGGCGGGGCTTGAGTGTGTCTTGCGGAGGGAAGGGTCCTCCCCTTCCAGGGTGGCCAGCCGGGACTCAATCCGCTCCAGGTCATCCGAGCCCACTTTGATTTTCA